CAGGAAGGGTCATGTCTTCCTCTTGGAATATTTCCCCCAGTAGTGTAGCAGGAGTTTCTTTTGCCATCAGTCTTCCCAAGGGTTTTGTCTTGGTTTTTCACTTCAGAGGGAATGGTAATGGCCTTCCCCTCACCTGGCCACGGTTTCACTATATAGCTATCACCTGGTGTTCTGTTCTGTTTCTCTTCCAGAGTGAAAGAGTTGAGAAAGGCCAAGGAACTTGAAGACATACAGCAGCATCCCTTAGCAATGTGACATTGCTTTTCAGACTGTTTTCATTTCTGTTTTTAGCAGAGACAGCAACGACACGCACACGCACGCACACACACACGCACACACACGCACACACACAATCCCTCTGCAGTTTTGGGGAGATCAGCTGCAGGATTTTAACAGGAATGTGTTGGTCATTGCATCTGCACTTTCATGGACAACTTTTAATTTGATCAGCAAGACATCTTGGAACTCAATCTTCTGTTGGATCATGGGAAAACAAGACACCACGAGGAACTGAAAGAGGCTTCCTCTTCTTAGGAAGAAGCCAGTTTCCTTCTCATATAGGGCTGTATTCAAACATCGTGTGGAACTGTACAAATATTTATACCAAAAATATAGACAAGCAAAGGTGGGGATGCACTAGCAACAAAAGAGAATGCTGCTCCTGCACCTGTCAGTTACTTCCAAGAAGCTGAATCTTTGGGATTGATTCTCAGTGGAGGGCTTAGATCATACAAATCTTTATTGGGTCCGTGTGTTCTCATTTCCTTCACTGATCTTATTTTATTTTAATTTGTGTTTGTTTTAATCTCTACAGCACACTTAATGCAACTTTTAAAATCTGCAGGTTTTTAATGTCTTGTGGAAATTTGCAGAGGGGCGGGTGTGTGGTAAACGGGTAATGCATGGGAACTAATGAGAAACAGCTTACAGAGTTTAAATTTATTTTCTTGTCCCCACCACCTCCCAAGGACCTGCGAGTATAGTGATCATCTTGTCCCTTTTGTCATGCTCAGCACTTTAATTTTTGGGCCTTACTTTCATGTGCAATGAGATTTACTTAGAGAATTGGTACAGCATGGAGCCTTTTTTAGTAACCTTGGAAACTGTAGTCATTCTAAGGAATCATAAACCTTGCCTGGACATTTGCCACCTAAAAGATCAGTGTGGTGCTGCGTTCTGGCCAGTAAATTCCATATTTTTGGCTATAATCTCATCCAAACTGAGCAGTTTCTGTGTATATATAGAAGATAGAAACGGAAAGTGAGAAAATATTTGAAAGGGATTATATTAATTGCTAAATATTTTATTCACAAAGGTCAATAACATGGCAAGATAAAATTATTTGTATAGTTTTGTCTGAATGAGCGAGAAAAAATGTGGATGTATTGTTTGTATATATTGTATATATTAAAACAAAGAGATATGTGCATGAAATCAAGAAAAAAGAAATGAACAAAAGCAAAGCATTAGTGGCTATGGTCTGTAAAATGAAACAAAAAAAACTTTATTTCACTATAAGAGTACTTTATTTTAAATGTTCTTTAGAAGAACATTTTGCTAAAGCATGACTAAACTGCAAAAAACAAAAAACAAAAAAAAAAAGAGCTACTGTATTTAGACTTAGGATAAAAGGCAGAGTAACATTACTTTAAAAAAAAAAGGATATGTTTACATTTAATTTTGGCTACCAGGAGTTTATTTTATTTAATTTAAAATTTTTTTGCCAATGGTGCCAAGTAATGTGAATGCTAATATTGCTTAAGAAAATTAAGTTACTTTTGCTAAACAGATAATCATAAGATGAATCCGTATATAGCTTAACACCATCCACTCACTCCAACAAAGAACACCTAGAACGATCAGAACCTGACAAAAGAAATAGTATGAAAAGTAGGAAAACGTCTCACGTTTTTCATATCTCCTGCTGGAAATCAGAAAATATATCAAAAATTGCACAAAAATAACTAAGAATTTAAAAGATGCAAACTGGTCTCATAGGGTTGTCATGGTCTATTACTCTTTCCATATAATGAGGAGCCAAAGAAATCTGATGCTTTTAAAAATTAAACTACTAACGTTAAATTGAGAGAATAAAGTTCGCATTTGCTGATGCCAGTTTAAAATTCCCAGGTAAAGTTTCAGGATCAGTTGGTGTAAAGCTGAGATAACAGTTTCGTTTTGTTTTTTTCTTGGTTCTGGCTGCCAACTGTAAGTTAAAACTCAAGGCTCGTTGTGAAGCCTAAAAATATTCACAAATAAGCTTTTAAACTGGTGTCTTTAGAAGGAAGGTAGATACAAAAAGATTGTGGTAAAAACTGGGGTCAGTGCTCTTGGTGCCTTTTCTATAATTGTACTTGTTTTTTAATTACTTCCTTTCACTGCCAACCTCGGATTACTGTACAGTATATGTCTTACCGCTTGTGATCAGCTTTGACAACAGTGACGGCCCCACAACCAGTAGCCACCTGTACATTTGTAAACTGACCTGGCTCGATTTTGTTTTTAAATGTGTGGGTTATGTTGCAGCTGTTGCCCTCCCCCCGCCCCGAAATGCCTATTATTTTACCCAATTTGACCTGTAGGATTGAGTAATTTACAAACACACAAATGTATCGTAAATGGGAATAGGAAGGTGAAAGCCAGCTCTTTCAGGATACCCCATATTAGTACCGAATTTAGATACGTTTATTCCATTTATTATGGTACAAATAACTGATCTTTTGACAAGAGTAATGACCTCAGTGGATTTGTGTTAACCCTCACATTGACTTATTCATTTTTTTTTTTTAATGTCTCCCATGCTACATTATTAGCCAAGTAAGTTAGAAACTTCTGGAAGATAAAGACTTAACATAGAATTAGGAGGGTTCTTACGGAGGGGATAGGAAGTAGGTTCAAAACCTACCCGTGTAGCCTACCAGTACAACTGTGAATCCTAGGTGAGGTACAGATGCACTTCCACTGAAACGAAGCATTTCTGACCGCTTTTCCTTGGTTGTGAATCTTAATTTTGAATATAAGACGATAGGTAAGCGCAGCTTTCTTGGATAATCTGAATTCCCAAGTGCCAGGAGTAGGATTTCATTATAAAATTAATAGCTAATCTTATTCTGTCTCCTGAAGATTTAATTGCTATTCTTGTTACCCATTTGAAATCAGCTGTACTGTGTGAACGAAATAAAGACAATAACTCGAACCCCTCTCTGGCTGCACGGTCGCTTATGGCAGTTCCACACAGTAGTTGGCGCCCAATGGGGGGTCCCTGAGACTTGCATGTAAAACTAGTCTAGATGTCTTCTTTTTTGTAAGTTTTATTTTTGTAATTGTGCATGTGAAGCATCATTGAATCAATGGATCTGTTGAAGAACTCAGCTGCTGGAAACCATGCAAAATGTTTTGAATTGCCCTTAAAATATGGAAAATGTTTTCTGAATGCTTTATATTCTTTCTGCTGTAAATTAAAAATGAAGAAAATTTCCCCATACTATGTGTGTGCTTTGCTTTAACTTTACCTGATACTGAAATCCAGGGTGACCGGCCTGCTTCAAACCCAGATGAGATCATCTCATGTATCTCCTTAGATCTAGAGACAAAGGTTTTGGCATCGACTGTTACAGAGCTTCAGACATGCCCATAAAAGAAAAACGTCTTCGTAAGCCACTGCCCCTAGAACCCTTGCTTCTCCATGGTCTTCTCAGGCACCTCTCAACATACCAGTTACTTGAAACATAAAGACACCAATCTAAATTCACCACTGCCGCTAAAATCCTCTGCTGTTTTTGAAAAGGCATTTTCCAACTGACTACTAATGTCCATCTTCTTTTCTGAGAATTCTGTCGTCATCTCCTTTCCTTTCACTGCAGTGTCATCTTGTCTCCCTGGTAGTCCCTCTTCCATGGAGTCCCGTGTGGATGCTCCTGCCAGACCAAGTCCGCAAGGTATCTCCCAACTCCACCAGGCCCCAGTGATTTCTGGAGCCCACTGCATTTAAATGACATTCTCCTTGCTTGTTTAGTCTCACTCTTGACTCTCTCTTACCCTCACCTGTACCGCGCAACCTGCCCCTTCCGGTTGGCGGTGCAAACCATGTCCATTTCCACTGCTGCCTTTGGTCATGTGTATTCATCCCTTGCCTGGAGACTTCTCTTCTTATCTACTTACCCAACTCAAATCCCACCTCCTCTGTAACACTCTTGTTTATTCTAATACACACTGACCTTTCCCTTTTCAAATTATTACATTGACCGTCGGGAAAGACAGTTCGGTATTAAAAGTATTTTAGTTTCCATTTCTCATCTCACCTGCCGGTTGACCTGGCAGTGCTTTGCAGGGTTGCTTTTTTGTTTTGTTTTTTAAGGTAGGCGTTGTCTACGTTGGTAGGAATACTTCCAGTAACAACTTTAAATACATTGCAGAGTAACTCACTGCATTTGGATTTATGCCTCCGCCTACAGCCGACCAGAAGTTGAGGACCTACTCTGTGCCGGGGCCCGGGGATATAGAAATACAGAAACTAACACAGCTCCTCACGGCCAGGCTCCCGTAAACAGATTGTAGTACGGTCTGTGCAGTGACAAATACTTGAGTCCCAAACGAGCACACGAAGAGAGGGAGTCTAACCCTATCGACGCGTGGGATAGATACCCCCAAAGGGACTTCCGATCTCATTTTAACAAGTTTCCCTGGGAAACGTGGGGTCCCCAGGACCACTGGGTTAACGCGGGACTTCAAGCAGAAGCACACAGTCAGTCCCCGGTACTGTCACGGCCAGGGAAATGGCGCCCGGGCCCGGAAAAATGTACCACGCCCCCGCTCCGACTGACCTACACATTCCCCTTACAGCGCCTAACGCGCCACATCCCCCAGCGTCGCAGGGGCGGCGGCGGGCAGAGCGCTCCCGGCGCAGTCGGCTCGCGCGGGACCGCCCAGCGCTCCCGGGGGGCCCCGCCCCGCTGAGCCCCGCCCCCTTACGGCGCGCCCCTCCGCGGCCGCGCCCGGCGACGTCATCTGCCCCGCGCCGCCGCCCCGCCCAGCTCCCGGCCTTCGGTCCCGCTGCGCCGCTCTGCTGACCGTCGCCCGCCGTCGCCAAAATGTGAGTGACGCGGCGAGACGCGGGGCGGCCTCGGACTCCGGGGGGCGGTGGCCCGCGGCTGAGACCCTCCCCCGGCTCGGTTCCCCCCCCCCCCACCCCGGCAGCCGCTCGGACGCGGGCCTGCGCGGTGGCTCCCGAGGGCCCGGGTGGGCGGCGGCCCCGAGGGTGCGGGCTGCGGGCGGGCCGAGCCAGCCCCGCGGCGCAGCTCGCAGCCCCGCGGCTGTCGGGCTATCGCGGAAGAGGCGGGGGCGGGGCGGCCGGGGGCTTCCCGGAGCTAGGAAACGCCCCTCCTTCCCCTGAGCCTACCTGGACCCTACCCCTTCTCCGCTTCCCTTAACCCCAGCCCGCGGCTCCGGAGAGGAGCGGCGGCCCCTGCCCTAGACCTGGAGCGCCCGTTCGCCTCCTGGTGCTGGGCTGGGCTCCGGAAGTTGCAAGGGAAAGGACCTCGGCCCTGGGTAGAGTGGACTCAGGAGCAGAGCTGCGGACCTTTCCTCTCTAAGCAGAAGCCGTCTTGTAGTGGCCCTTAAAAACGTGGGAGTTTCCCGTGGTAACATTCAGAGAAAACTGCCAAGAGTCACAAGGACCCTCTGGCCCCTCCAGCCTGTCCATCGCTCACCTAGAGAGGAGGAAGGAATGGGTGCTTCCCCCGGTTTCCTTCTAGAAGCTAGGGTCACCACTCTAGAGTGTACCTGCTGAGGCTGCTGTGACAGGAAATCACAGTGGTTAAGGTCTAGATCATACGGGACCTGGTCTAAAGACCGGCTCCACTGCAACCAGCTGTGTTGACTTTCTAAACTGCACTTTACACTTCTGTGAAATGAGGTTAATAGTAGTACCCCCTTCAAAGAGTTATAAGGATTAAATGAGAAAACGTACCAGTACATGGTCCTTCACTACTATCAGAGAATAAAAATAAAGTGTTAAGGGCAGGCATGGGACCTGCTACATCCCTGGTCTTTGACACATGGTAGGTATGAAAGAACTTGAATCAGTGGATGCATCAGTAGCTGTTGTGTACAAGACACATACTAGGTGCTGTCTTGGATACAGGGAAGAAACCTCTCTTAAGACACAGGAGTCTGTAAGGCAAGACATTACAGATGACCCTTGAACAACACGGGTTTGAACTGTGCAGGTCCACTTACACGTGGGTTTTTTCTGGTAAATACAGGACTGTAAATGTATTTTCTCTGTCTTGTGATTTTCTTAACATTTTTTCTCTAGCTTAGTTCATTGTAATAACACAGTGTATAATACGTATAACATACAAATATGTGTAAATGGTTTAGGTTATTGCTAAGGCCTCCGGTCAACGGTAGGCTATTAGTAGTTGCATTTTTGGAGGAGTCAAAAGTTATGTGCTGATTCTCAGTTGTGGGGAAGGGAAAGGGGTTAGCACCCCCAAACTCCACCTTGTTCAAGGGCCATCTGTGTGTGTGAAAAATCAAAGCATGGCCAACCAAGTAACGGAAGCAGTAAGGACTTCAGAGCCACAGTGGTCAAGGAAGATCTTCCTGGGGAGAAATGGGCATTCAGTGAGGATTTGCAGAGGAGTACCTTTTAAGGGAGGAAGCACTGCTTCATCTCACTCTTCCTGCTCATACCACCCCTCCTCCCTGCATCCTGATGTTCCTGACCCTGTTTCTGTGAATGAATATATTTCTCCTTACTGGAAAAGTGGCGTTCTGTAATGACTCATAACTATGAAAACAGTTCTTGCCACAATGAGAGAGATCAGAAGCGTACTGAGTGCATTTAAGTAGATGTGTGCCTTTAAACAAAAAATTGGAAGGTGTAGTTTCTCTCTCTTAGGATCCCTGATCTGAAGATCAGGTGCTTCAGCGATGCAAAGTAGAGCTTACTAAACCTTCACTTTAGACTGGTCACTTTTCACATATGGATGAGTCTTGGAAATTATAGAGGAATTAGAAGAAACATCATTAGAACCTTTGTTCATTACCGTAGGAAGGATTTCTTCTTCTGCTTTAGTTCTGAAACTTCTAACAGCGAGGTCTTGGAATAACGTCTGCATACTTACAGAAATGTATTTGGCATCAGAATTTACTCATGCTTGTGCCTTTCCACATTTCAGGTCTGCAAGTGTACCTGCAGGTTCAAGTGCTGCCTCTGGCAGCAACCGAAGACTTCAGCAGACACAAAATCAAGTAGATGAGGTATTGCTCTCAAATACTGAAGACAGTGAATTTTAAACCAACATGGGAACACTCTGGAAAGAATTCTTTTTAGAAAAAGTATCATAAAAGCATGAGTATAAAGGAAATTTTGACTGTTTCATAATAACAAATGAGCTAAGCTTCTGAGAAGTCAGTCTCCAGGTGTCATGCTTGTTTTCCTGTGACCAAATCTTGTATCTTAACCACAGACACTCCTCCTGAGAACATCCCTCCAAGAACCGCTTTATAAGATACAGTTTGCCACAATTAAAAAAAAAAAAAAGAACCACTTTATTAAATAGGGTAATAGAGTTTTAAGGATTAGGTCTATAGATTGTTCAAGCCAAGACCAGTCCCTCTGACCAGATTTTTCATCAGAATGCTTCCTACAGTAGCCTGACGTACTGGTTACCAGGCTTGAGGAAGCCCCTAGAACTCAGTTCCAATTGTTGCCCATTCATGTACCAAAGGCCGATGCTGGCAAACTGCTCTAGCCCAACAAACCGAAATCTGTGGAATTCTTGAGTCAGAGGACCCTCACAGCATCTTTTGTTCTGCTCTGTATGTGCAGACCCACAGTGGAAGACTGTGAGAAATTCAGACTCGTATTCTATAGCCCAGAGAGCTGTCAGTGTCCAACAAAGACACCTTGGTCTTTCTGCACTTAGCTGCTTTAAAAAGCAGAGTTAAACTTAGGTTAGACTGCATTATTAAATCATTTGGTAATATTTTGTTCTGATGGTTTTGTTTATGAACTGAATTCTGAAAATTTTACATTTCCATGGTAAGAAACCCATTCTAATTCCATCCTGGATGAAACTTTTGCTTACTCACAAAATCAAACTGGGTCCTTTTTCTTAACCAAAGGAATTTTAAGGAGAGGTGTTTTGTTTTGTTTTAACTGAGGTGAAATTTACATAACATACAATTAGCCATTAACCAGTGGTGTTCGGTGTATTCACAGTGTTGTGCAGCCATTACCTCTAATTTCACTACTTTTGCATCCCCCCCTTGAAGAACACCCTGGACACGTGTAATCATCACTCCCCATTCCCCTTTTCTCCCATTCCTGGTAACCTGTAATCGGCTTTGTTTCTATAGATTTGCCTGTTCTGGCTGTGTCCTCTAAAGGGGACCATGCACCGTGTGGCCTTTCGTGTTTGGCTTCTTTCAGTCAGCATAATGTTTTCGCTGTTCATCCGTGTTGTAGCATCTGTCAGTACCTCCTTCCTTTTTATGCCTGAGTGGTGTTCCATGGTGTGTGTGTGTACATAATTCGTTTTTCTTTTCATCTGTGGAGGGGTTTTTGAGTTTCCACCTTTTGACTGTCATGAATAATGCTGCTGTAAACATTCATGGACAAATTTCTGTGTGGACGTATGTTTTTATTTCTCTTGGATATGTATCTAGAAGCAGGAGTGCTGGATTACGTGGTAATTCTGTGTTTCACTTTTTGAGGACCTGCCAAACGTGTCCACAGTGGCCGCGCCAGCCTTCATTCCCTCCCGCAGTGTCCGGGGGCTCCTGCTTTTCCACATCCTCACTAACACTTGTTAGCTTCTGTTTTCTCTGCGTGTAGCTGCCCTCCTTAGTGAATGTGAAGTATTTCATTGTGGTTTTGGTTTGCATTTTCTTAATGACCAGTAGTGTCGAATATCTTTTCATGTGCTCATTGATCATTTGTATACATTCTTTGTAGAAATGTCTATTCAAGTCTGTTGCCTGGCTTTTAATTGGGTAGTTTCTCTCCTTGTTGTTGGGGAGTAAGAGTTCCTTACATATATGTATTCTGGATATTAAACCCTTCTTAGATAAATGATTTGCAAATAGTTTCTTCTGTTCTATAGATTGTCTTTTCACATCCCTGATAATGTCTTTTGATGCACAAAAGTTTTTAATTTTTAAAAAGTTCAATTTACTTTTTCTTTTGTTGTTCTTGATTCGGTGTCGAATCCATGGCCAAATCTGAAGTTTGGAAGATTTGCTCTTATGTTTTCTTCTAAGAGTTTTATAGTTTTTAGCTCTTATTCTTGGGTCATTGATCCATTTTGAGTTAATTTTTATATGTAGGGTTAGGTGTAAGGGTCCAGTTTCATTCTTTTGCATATGGCTGTCCCATTGTCCTAGCACCATTTGCTGAAGAGACCATCCTCCTCCTCACGGAAGGATCTTTACAGCTTTGTCAAAAATCAGCTGGCCAGAGATGTTGGAGTTGATTTCTGGATCCTCAGTCTGTATGTCTGTCCTTATGCTAGAATCACACCGCCTTGGTTACTGTAGCTTTATTGTAAGGTTTTGAAATTGGAAAGTCTGAGTCCTCCAACATTTTCTTTTTCCGTATTGTTTTTGGCTCTTCAGACCCCTTGCAATTCCATCAAAATTTAAGGATTGGCTTTTCTGTTTCTGGGAGGGGGTGGTAGGGGGAGAAGGACAGTGGAATTTTAGTAGAGATTGTGTCGAATCTGTTTATCTGTACAGTGCTTTGAGATGTCTTGCCATGTTAATAACAGTAAGTGTTCCCATCTATGAATATGGGACGTCTTCCTATTTAATTAGGTCTTTAGTTTCTTTCAGCAATGTCTTGTAGTTTTCAGTGCACAAATCTTTCACCTCCTTGGTTCAATTTATCCCCTAGGTATTTTATTCTTTTGGTTGCTACTGTATATGAAATTATTTTTTTAATTTCCTTTTCATTTCTCTTGTATGGAAACATTCTGATTTCTGGGTGTTGGTCTTGTACCCTGAACCTTTACTGAATTTGTTTATTGACTCTAGTAGTGTGTGGATTCTTTAGGATTTTCCATATACGGAATCATCTGCAAATAGAGATCATTTTACTTCTTTCTTTCCAATTTGAATGTCTTTTATTCTTTCCTTTGCCTGTTTGCTCTGGCCAGAACTTCCAGTACAATGTTGAACAGCATTAGTGAAAGTGGGCATCTTTACTTGTTCTTGATCTTAGGGAGAAACTCTCCACATTGAGCACGGATGTTAGTTGTGGGTTTTTCCATAAATGCCCTTTATCATGTTAGAGAAGTGCCCTTCTATTTCTAATTTGCTGAGTATTTTCATCATGAAAGAGTGAGCCACTCCCTGCTCCCTCCTTTTTAAAAGAAAGTTGTGGCTCAAAGTCATAAAGTGCTGACTTGAAAGAAAATGAGCCCATTTACCTCACTGAGAGTTTTGCTTGTTCTTCCCTTCCCTTATGTGTAACTTGGTGTGATCGGTGTTCCTTCAGGTGGTGGACATCATGAGAGTCAATGTGGACAAGGTGTTGGAAAGAGATCAGAAGCTCTCGGAGTTAGACGATCGTGCAGATGCACTGCAGGCAGGAGCGTCCCAGTTTGAAACAAGTGCTGCCAAGTTGAAGAGAAAATACTGGTGGAAGAATTGCAAGGTAATTTTCTTTTAACTGGTTTTACATTAAGTCACCCTCTGTATTCTCAGAGGGTCAACTAAAGCTATGGGTGTTGGAGATGAGTTTGACGGCCCATACGTGGAAACCTGGATTGACTCCGAGTCTGAAGCACTGACTGCATGCTCTTTCCTTTCCCCTCAGCTAGGAATGCTCCATGATCCGTGGCTGACCTTAAGAAGCATATAGAATAGGAATGTCCAAAATCAGTCACCAACCTAAGCCCCTTCCAACCCTCCACCCCTACGCTGCAAAGCCATGAACACATACTGGCAGGAGAGGGCTGGGGTTGGTGGTCCGCTGGCCTGTGGTTCAGCCAGTGGCTCCGGCATCACAGGATGGGGGGGGGGTGCTTGAAAGCCAGTGCAGAAAGCAGCCCACAAGCAGCATACCCCAAAGCAGATCTTATACATCTCACGGCCCCCTTACTGGTATACAGGTGACACTTTCTGATACACAGGACGAGCTTAGTAGCCCTGCCTTGTGTGAAGAACTTGTATACACAAGCAAATGCCTTTCCAGGGACCACAAGTCATTTGACCATTTTTTAAAAAGCAGATAAAGAACTTCATGCCGTAATTGAGAACAGTAAATTTAGGCCTTAAAAACTATGAATTATTTCAGATTATAGTGCACCTTAACTTCTCGGTCCGTGACTAGACTATCATACTCTTCAGTGAGCACCCTAATGTCTATATTTGGAAATGTGAAATGGTCTATGTTTTGTCATAGATGTGGGCGATAGGGATTGTCGTTGTGGTCATCATCATCATCATCATCATCGGTGAGTTCTCCTGCCCTAAATTCATTTTTCAAGCCTCCTCGGTATGGACACAGTTGATTTCACATACAAGAACTCAGAATAAAAGTTCCCTCAGAACTGTTAGTTTACTCCAAAGATTTTCATTTTCTTCAGTAAATGTTTTAAATACTTGAGTGTTACTTCATTAAAATCCAGGGTTTTTTTTAAATATAAACATTGATCCTTTGAAGTTAGAGAAGATGTACTCACTTCCACTGATCCATCTGTTTTCACTCTGAGTACAATTTTCATTTGCTATTTCCTTTTATAAGAAAGAGTATCGTCTATTGATTAAAAGCATGACTACCTGTTCTCCACCGTGGCTCCATTCCCATCCAGCTGCGTGGCCTTGGGCAAGCAGTTTAACATCCCTGATCCTCAGTTTCTTCACTTGTAAAGTGGGGATGATAATAGTACCTACCCCTTAACGTTTGCTATGAGGACACCACTGCTCAATATATAAGAAGTGCATAGGATGGTACCCGGCGCATAGGAATAATAATAGCTGGGTAAGTAAATAAATCCATACAGACAGGCATGCGCGCACGAAGTATGATTACTGACGTTATTACTGCTGCTACCATATATGATCCTGGAACAGGCCATTGACGTTTGTAGCCCAGGACCTGGGAACCATTTGCAAAAGCAGTTCTTCCCATCCCTTCTCTTGACAACGTCCTCAAGCCCTTGACAAAGCGTAGAGAAGCCACTAGTAAGAAGTTGGCCAAATTGAATTGCATATTTAGACTGTGATGTTCACTGTTAACTCTGGGTTTGCAGTGGGAGACTGAACTGTTGTTTCCTCTGCTTCTTTGTGTCTCCCCTGCTTGTTAGTGTGGAATGTTTCCCCGTGAAGAACCAGTGCAGCCCCAGCCTGCCATTCAAGAAAGCTCTTCAAGACATTTGACTTAGAACCTGCTATATTCTCGAGCTCGCCTACTGTTCTGTCTAAACTGATTATTTTCTGTTTGTTACCGTAAAGTTTAATTTCTAGGCAACGTGCCTTTGTAATGTCATAAGCACTCCAAACTTGAAGTGCAGCCGCCCGGCCCACACCTGGCCCGGCGCCTTCACAGATTGCCACGCGGCTGACGAAGAGGATCTCTTAACTTCCCGAGTGTCATCACCTCGAAGTCATGTTGTCTTGATGCATTGGTGTTAATTCCAGTTAAGGGAATTTGTTCCAAGTTAGCTATCCTTGCCGTCTGACATCTTCAGAACCACATTCTAAACTTTTAGGTAATCAGATTTCCAGTTTGTGCCTTCCAGAAAGAACACTACTGCCTAACGCAGATCTGTAACCATAACAGGTTGTGCCTTATTTTGCTCTTTTTCTGATTCCCTAGAAGAGAACTCTCTACTGTTGATAAGCACTACTGACTCTCGCGCTGTATTTAAAATAAGATATGGATAAAGAGTTTTGGCTTTTACATTAGATATGAAGATGTTTACTTTCTTGTTAACTGTTTTTGTATCACTTGCTAAAAAATATTATTTTAATCAGACATAATAGCCTCTTTAAAACATTTTTATAGAACTATGGCTATGACCAAAGTTTCTATTTTGCCAAAAAGTTGAATGCCCTTAAGTCTGTTCCCAACAGATAAATTCAAAAAAGTGACAAATGGAACTTAAGGTGCCCTTCAGAATTAAAATTGTAATCTTGTCTGTGAACCCTCTACATCCTAACAGGCCTTTCTTGCCTTTGGAGTGCTGTGGGTGGTGCAGCTCCCCCTCTGATTCAGCATTTCTCCCACGGGTGAGGGAAGGTTTAAGCTAGACTCTGACCATCTCATCCCTGGAGACTGAGTTCTACCCGGCAGTTCACAAAATGTCAGCTGTGGACTCCAGTAGGTCTCTAATAATTACGTGAGCAACAATTCTGCAGCCTTCAAGTGAGACCATCTGTGAACTGGTCCTTAACTGGCCCATTCCCCATAGACGATAGTCTTTGGGAGTTTGTTTCCTATTTTTATTCATATTCCACTTCCTAAATCTGTCTTCTAAATTATGCTTTCAATTGGGCATTGGTCAGGGGTGGATGACTCTTCCTGGAGGATAGCTAACCAGAGACCCTTTCTTTCTTCAGCGTCATAGACTGCACAAGATGCTGCTTCGGAAATAGCTTTGTCATGAGAGACTTGTTGTGTATGTGAGATGTGCATCATCAGGGCGGGTGGCTCAAGGATGGGAATTCAGGTAGGCATGCAAGCAGGCAGGGAGGCGCTGAGGGACAAATGCAGAGGTATTACTACTCTGGCCCATGGTTACTGGAGGATTCCAAAATTCCTGTTCACATGCTAGCATGGGACTTACAAAGCAACAACAGTTGAGGGGCACCAGGACACGGACTCCCTTTAATATCTGTTCCCCTGGCCTCACTGAGATGCTACAGTGTTGAAGACACGCCCTGCAGGATGCCCAGCTGTGAGAAGGAAGCAGCGGGGTCAGTGTGGGGCGGGCCGTGAGCCCACCCCTCCGCTCAGGGGCTCTCGCCGGGTCTGACTCTGAAACCTTGGTGCTCCCTCCTTGCCTCGTGCCGAGTCCCATGTAACCCACTGGCTCCTGCATTAACCCAGGGGCACCTCGCTTGTATCTGTGCATTTAGCTGGGAACTTACCCACTATAATGAACTGAATAAACTGTTTATAAATGGAATTCCGGTATCTGTGTTGCTTGTAGAAGAATAGCTGCGCATGGTCCAAGTCTTAAAAATGGCATTCCTTGCTGCTGCCCTCACCTTTCACTTTGAAACCCCAAACTCCACTTTTCTCTTCTTGTCCCCAGTTCCCTCCCGAAGGACTCATTTCTTGGTCCCCAGGATTTCCCTGTACCCTAGCGAACCCAAGCAAACCCTTCCCCTCCTGAAAAGTATAGATGACTCGGGGGCTGGCTTTCTCACGATTACCAGAATGCTCAGGATCTGGCTTTTGAGTTTCTTAAATGTATGTTCTTTAAAGAGTGAGGTGCAGAGCCGGCCCTGTGTGTGGTAGAACAGCAAGCTGCCTAGGTGGCCCACAGGGAAGGTAACGTGGATGGGCAAGAGACTTCTCCAAACATGGCTCTCGTTTTGATTCTGCTCATCCTTCCCCTTGAATACACTTCCCTTCTTAATCTACCACGGCTAGGGAACAACATAACAGGGGTAGAAGTAGCCTTTGCTTACAGTTACAATAAAATGCCATTTCCTATAGAAATCTGGGAGAGAAGAGGGTGACTTCTTCCATCGCCTTGACCTTGGAGAGGTGGTCACCGCTTTTCTTGTCTGGCGTGCTATTGTGTCCTGGCAAAGCACTTACAGTAGAATTGTGCTGTTTGTTCAGGACCTTTATATAATGAGATCTACATAAATTTTGGTGCCATTTTCAAGATTTTGAAGGAAAACCTACCATAAATGCGCTCTTTTCTGCCTCTCCTGTAAATGTCAGGATTCCTCAGCCAACTGGGTCCTCAGCCAACTTCTCTTTCCATTCTACCCACTCTCCCTGGTCAGTCTTACCTATTCCCACATCTCTAACCATTAATGTACTGATGATTCCTGGCCTAGTGGACACCGGCCTCTCAAACTCAGCAGGGACCAAAGCAGCAAGCACTCCCCAGCCGCATGCTCCTCTTCCGTTAATAGGGTCTGTTCCAGAAAATGGCACCACCAGCCATCCAGGGTCCACGCCAAACCAGTCCACTGGACTTGCTGATACTTGTAGTCACCACACAGATCACACCGAATGTGCTGGAGTGCTACACAATAAACATTCTCCAAATCTCAACGGCTTAAAGTTATTTCCTCACTCATGCCTCATGTCCAATGCCAGGCCGCGGGAAGGTTCTATCGTCAGTCCTCAGGGAGGGACTTCCTGTAAACATTTGTTCAGGTTATCAGTGTGGCAGGAAGGGAGCATAAGGAATTGTGCACTGGCTCTCAAGGCTTCCGTCTGGAAGTGGGGTTCGGAGCTCTTCTCATGTTTTACTGGCCAAAACAAGTCACGCGACCCCACCTAACCTCAGAGGTGGCAGGGGACACATGTCACCGGAAGGAGAAATGTGATGTTTGTGAACATTTGCCTTCCTGATGACAATTTCAGTCAAAGAATGGGGCAAATTCCCCTTGACTCAAAAGTATTTTCGAACGAGGTGTACGTCCTACGTGATGATTCTATATTTGTATCACTAATAGAATGTGTTTTTTAAAGTATGGTGATTTTTTTTTATTATTATTATTCATTTTGAGTGAGGATTTGTTTAAAATTGACTGGACTGCTTAAGTGCATTTAAAAATAGCATCCTTGGTGGCGCCTGGCTGGCTCAGTCGGTGGAGCGTGAGACTCCTGATCTCAGGGTGGTGAGTTTGAGCCCTGCGTTGGGTATAGAGATTACTTAAAAAAAAAAAAAAAAAATAGCATCCTTATTTACAACGAAGCTGCTTTTCATCCTAGCAGAAAATTCAATTTGTAAAACCCCAATTTCCTAAATAAACCAATTATGGCATAATTATTAGAAAATAATGGGTATTCTTTTCTCATCCTTGAAATAGCAAGCTAAGTGCATTTCCAAATCTTCTACTGGTCTTTATACCGTCAAGACCACGGGCAATCCCGTTAACACAAGGGCTTGCCTTCAGCCCAGGCTCTGGATCCTGAGCCTAACTGAATCCTTCCCTCCAGCCGTTCCCTGTTGTCTGCAACTCTCCTCCCGCTTCATCCCCTTCTCCCTCTCTGTTGGATCACCCCATCAGACCCTAACCGTGGCCCCCACATCCCTCCCTTGGGCAAACAAACACTTGTTCATAGCCCCACACAGGAAAACCCCTCCCCACAGCTCCCCGTGGTCACTGCCTCACATTGTACTTTTCCTCCAGCCAACACTATCGAGACATCTTTAACCAAGGTCACCATCTTGGTGAAGCACCACAGAAATTTCTCTGCCCTTGTCTTACTCTGCGCATCACCAGCATTTGATAATAGTTAATAGCTCTCCCCTTGAAATATTTTACCTAGCTTCCATGACCCAACATGCTCCTGCTTTTCTTTCAACCCCATCTATGGCTCCTTATTCTTCACTTGGCTCTCTGCTTGGCCTCTGAATCTCCACGCCTCTCTCCTCCCCCAGTCTTGGCCTTTGGCCCTTTTCTGTTTGCATTCTCATGTTGACACCATTTCACCCAGGACCGTAATCGCCATAGGGCCTCCGGCCTCTCCCAAACGTTGGCCGTATCTCCATTCCTGGCCTTTCCCCTCCATCCCAGGCTGGGAGATCCAATCACCCACCTGCACGTGCCATGCACTGCTCAAACGGGATGTGTGGGCAACAAGTCTCCATTCTCCCCTCGTCAAAACCTACCATCCCCCCCTGTCCATCTAAGTTGCTGACCCATGACACACAGCACTGCTTACACTAAAGACCCAGGAGTCGCCCTTGATCACTCTCTCTTCTCACAACACACATTCAACTCATCGGCAAGGTTCTGTGCCCCAGATGCACCCCACGTCGTCTCCTCTCACCATCCTTCCGGGCACCACCCCAGTCCAACCTGTCCTCAGCCCTCTTCTTGTAACTAACAGCTTCCTGTTAACTACTCCCTGTGTAGAAGTCTGGCTGATACAGATCACTATCTTGCTTAGAATCCTCTTTCCACTTTCCATTTTTTAGAAAAAAAATCCAAATCGCATTCCCTAATTATAATCTGGCCCTTCCTAACTTCCTGATCTCCCCTAACACCATTCCTCCTCCCTCTGTGAAGTCCCCAGACAAAGTAGACGTTCCTTCTGTTCCTTAACAACACACCTGCTCCGTCAGGGCCTCAGCAGGTGCCTCCTGCCCCCTCCATCGGGTCCAGCCCCCACACAGACGCACACACTCAGGTTTCAATGCGCCTTCTCAGAGAGGCTTCCCTGATCCCCAGGCTGATGTGTCTGTTGCCTCCTTCACCCTCTGTCCCAGCCACACTTCCTCCTCGTTTCACGTTGCACACAGCACTCTCCACTTTCGGACCTCCACACGCTGGCTTGTGTCTTCCATCTTCACAAACGGCAGACTCCCAGAATGGAGGGACTTTTGCCACTGCTCTTTCTCGGGGGCCACAATCATCCCGGCCTAGATCATCCACTCCTAAGTATTTGTTGAATGAACGCAGTTCGACAAAACAAAACTTGAGAGGGAGATCTGCCATCATTTGGAAAAAGGAGATGCTTTATCCAATACATGACATGAACAATTGACAAACTTCACTCCCCCCCCACCCCTTTCTATGCAATTCCTTTCATTCATCCAATAAATACTGAAGATTTTTCATGTACCAGGCACTGGAGAGGGGAGGAGCTCTGCACTTCGGACGAGTTGACAGACAATCTAAAAAACCTTCAGACTTGGTATTTTTTTAAAAGGCCTTAGCTACACCTCCCTTTTCTGAAACCGTGTCGTGGACATACACTTGTCTTCCCCCAGTTGCCAAATCAACCTGTAACTTCAGGAAGACCGGGGAAATGTTTAGAGTCTGTTGCCAAAATTCCGCTTCTGAAACCCGGCTTTGATCTTTCCTGAGGCTGCCCTACCGCCAGGGCCTCCGAGCCTCACGAGCTGGCGGGCGCGAGAACAGGAAGGTTGAGCAAGACGCAAAACCGGAATCCGACAAGGCGCAGACGAGGCGCTCGGAGGTCCAGTGCTTCTTCCTGCGGCCCGGGACTGGCCGGACCCGCGCCCCAGGGTCGTCCCCCACCCCTGCGCCGCCAGCCCCCGCCACCGGCGCGCCCCGCCGCCGGGTCGCCCGCCCCTCCCGTGGAGGCCGGCTCACCCCGCCCGGGGCCCGCGCCCTCACGATTGGCGGCTCGAGCGCCCTATCCCTGCCGCGCTGGCTCCAGCCGCCCCGCGGCCCCTTCCCCCCACCCACCCCCTCTCCGGCGCCGTGAAGAGGGCGGAGCACTCGACTTGCGCGGCCTTAATCCCAGCCCCCTCCGGGCCCCTCCGCCCCCCGCCTACGCGCCGGCCTGCCGGGATTGGCCGAGCGCCGCCCTCCGCCCGACCCCCGGCGTTATGTAAGGGGCTCCGAGGCCGTCTCCCCGCCCACTCACCTTCGGTTATGTAACCCCGGCGCCCCGGCGCGGGCCCCGCCCCCTGGCTAATGGGGGCGCGCAGAGCCGGCCGCGGCGGCCAATCGCGAGGCCTGGGGGCGGGGCCGCATCACGTGGCGCGCCGGGGGCGCGGCGCCGACCACCGCCCGGCACGCGGCGGTCCTCGGGACTGAGTGCTGCCCGGCCCGGTGGGGCGAGCGGCGGCGGCGGCGGCGGCGGCGGCGGCGGCTGGTGAGTGCTCTGCCGGGGCGGGAGGTCTCCCCGAGTCCGCCCTCCGTCCTGGACCCGGCGGCCGAGCGGCGCCGGTCCGAGAACCCGGGGCTCCTGAACTTGGCGCTGGAAGTTCCCCCTGCCCGGGTCCAGTTTCTGGGTGCGCGCCTCCGGCCGGTGAACAACAGCGCGTGGGCAGGCCGGCGAATGGGAAAGTCTGGCCGGGGGGGTCTGTCACAGCTCAGCTTCCGCAGCACATCGCCCGTGTTACTGGACACCTGTCCCCTCTGTACCCGCCCCCGGCGCCCCCAGGCTGCTCCCGCGAGCGGAGCCATCCGAGACTGCATGGAGATCCTGCAGAGGAAACTTCGTCCAGGTGACTAGGGATCAGGATCCACGGGCTCCTGATGACCGATCATTTTCCCTAAAGCAATGGCATGGACCAAAATGAGAAATTCTGTCGCTGATTGCAAAGTGAAAAGGAAGCAGGCAACAGACTGAGGGCTGCCGAGCAAAAGATGGACCCCTGTGAAGACCTGGAAACGTCCAGCGGTAAATCTCTGGACTCCAGAGGGACCGAACCTCAGGAATTTGAAGGACCACAGGCCTGCGGCTCTGAGGCCCTGGGGAGAGGAAACGAGGAGATGTGGAGCCGGAAATCCCACCTGCAGAGCCCACACGTGGAGAACAGCAACAGGTGACACGGCCTGATTTGTTTGTTGTTCTTCGAAGGCTAGTACAGGGAAAGGGGGGCTTAAGTCGTTTTATTCTTTTATTTGTAAGCCTGAGAAAAAGTTTAGGGGGATACTCAGACAACTTGGAATGAAAAGTTGTGGGAAACTGAAGAATTACCAAGAAGTATCAGAAAGATGGAAAGAGTGGTTAAGGGTTTAGCTGAGGGGCAGGGGGGCTGCAGTGGGAATGAGAAAGAATGGAAAATGTTTGATGTTTACCAGTTTCTTTGGCCAGGATCCCCCCAAAGAGGAAAATAAACCTGTGAACTAAATGAGTTGATCCATGGGAAGCATTTAGAAAGTTGCTTGGCGTGTCATATGCTGTTCAATAAACGTTGGCTGCTCTTATAATTGAACGTGTGAATTGACGGGGTTTTTTGTTGTTTTCTTACAGTGAACAGCAAGATCGAAACAGAGTTTCTGAAGAACTTATAATGGTTGTGCAAGAAATGAAAAAATACTTCCCATCGGAGAGACACAGTAAGCCAAGCACCGTGGATGCTCTCAACTACGCCCTTCTCTGCATACACAGCGTACAAGGTAAATGAGCTGGAGAAAAAGTACAGTCGTGCGAATACATCATTTTGCTCATAAACATCGGCCAAGCCGGAAGAGTTATCAGTGTGGTTCTGGTCCCTGAAATGTTTTGACCTTTTTATGGTGCTTGATGTGAGATGAGCAGATCCACATGGATTCTATTCGTGTCTTGGTTTTGCAAATTAGGAACATCAGGAAAACCTTGTTTGTGTCAGAGTTTAGGAACTGTTCTTTAGTGACTGGCATATTTTGATGATTTGCTGTAGGAGATAGAGTTTGGCACATTTTAAAGACTGATTTTTTATTTTTTTTATTTTTTTTAAGATTTTTTAAAAATTTATTTGACAGAGATACAGCGAGAGAGGGAACACAGGCAGGGGGAGTGGGAGAGGGAGAAGCAGGCTTCCCGCAGAGCAGAGAGCCTGATATGGGGCTCGATTCCAGGACCCTGGGATCATGACTTGAGCCGAAGGCAGATGCTTAATGACTGAGCCACCCAGGCGCCCCAAAGACTGACTTTTTAAAAGATCGTTGTCTTCTAAGGGTATTGGGGAAAAAATACATTTGGCTAAATACAGCTCACCTTTCTCTGTCATCCACATACTGTTTAACAGTGCATTCGTGATATATCAGGAACTTGCCAAATTAAAAATGAACAGTCGCAAACACCTTTTCCTTTTTATCTCTGACCTTTCATTTCCGGGGATCTAATAAAGTACACATTTTGTTTAGCACAAACTTCTGTAACGTCGCATACGACACACAGTGCCTGAATACGAAAGTGATGTTTCTGCCATAAACACATCCCGTGCATGTATTTGGAATTTTAGGTTTCCGTACCTTGTATGGATCTTGCTCCTTGTGACACAGAACATCAGAAAATCCTAAAATCCAAAGGCTTACATCTGTACAACTATCAGTGTTTTAGGTGAAAGAAGAAGATGATCAGGTTTTGAGGCAGACACGCTGAGGTGCCCTCATCCTAAAAAATAAGCCAGCTTCAAGGGTGGTAAAAATGATTTCCTTAAGCTATCGCGGTCACTGGACTACCTGTTTATTTTCCTGTGTTTCTTAGCAAACAGTGGGGTTTTCCAGCCTCTCAGTCAGAGTGGAGCACCTCAAGCAGCTGCGACCGCATACAATCTTGAGGAGCTGGCCACGGCTGCCTCGGGGTACACTTCCAAAAACACAGTAAGAATCCACACGTTTTGCCATATCAACCTGGGTGACTTTTCCTAACAACCTTGTCTAGACGTAGATGTTGAAACCTAATACACTGGAGTTTCATTAACCAGGATGCGAGGCAAACAATGGAGGTGTGCTGCTGTAGTTTCTCCTGCCCTTGTGGGAGCACAGATGTAAACCCAGGCAGCAGCCCTGGGGCAGTGGTCCGCTGGACTCCCCTCCCGAGCCGCCCCTGCCTCCTGAGCATCCCCATGTTCTCTCGAAGTCAGAGAAAAAAACAAATAGTAAACTGCGGAGTAACCGCCCTCATTTTATTTTGATCTCTGAATCGTTAATTTGTATTTATATCATTCTTAGTACCAATACCCACTCCTTCAAGTTGTAACAACTGGATTTATAGAACCAGGTGAGTTGAGATGCTGTCATTTTTCTGTCAAATTTGGGAAGAGACATGTAGTGGATCTTTTTTGAATGTCTTCATGTTGGCAGAATCATTCAGCCTCATGCCTTACTGATGTGATGGAGATTACTTAGTTTTAGGTTTAGACCCCATACATAAAGATCTGGTAATATCGGAACAGGAGCTGTCCCTAAGATCACAGGAGTATTTGTTTTACTGACTGGGGTGTTTACGGGACTCTGGTGGGTGTGGCGGAGATGGAAGAAACAAGGAAAGGTTTAAGAAAACATTTTCCCTTAAAGATCTTCCAGATAAAACTAGAGAGGGGAGGACATGCCGATGCTAGCAGACACAGTGGCCGATTGTAAATGTTACTGCTGTTTGATGGAACAAATATGAGAAATGATTCTTACGTAGCGAGGTTTGTCAAAGACAGTGTCTTGAAAGAGGAGACTCTTGAGCTTAGTCTTGAAGCCTAGAGTTATGCATTGGTCAAGAGAAGACAGTCCCCTCAGTTTGCAAACGAGAAGGAATCGGAAATGGATGCGCCGTGTGCACATTTAGTCGATGTAAGATGAGCTGCTTTATTGTTTGGTATAGAAACGAGACCTTCAGAAGATAAAATGCAGGTTTTATGACAATCATTAAGGCATATGTTGGGAGACTCATGCTGCCTTTGCAGGATATGTGCATGTGTTGATCACATTAGGAGTCTAGAAGAAATTTACCTTTCAGGGAATATTGTTCACAAGTGTCTCAATATTTGCATTTATTTTAAATGTTTTTCATAGGATACCTTTGTGGCAGTGTTTTCATTTCTGTCTGGAAGGTTAGTGCACATTTCTGAACAGGCTACTTCAATCCTGAACTGTAAGAAAGACTTCCTGGAGTCTTCGCACTTTGTGGAACTGCTTGCTCCCCAAGATGTGAGGGTTTTCTGTGCACACACTGCCCTCGCTCAGCTTCCCCTCTGGAGCAACTGGACCCAAAGAGGTAATGGGACCCATGCTCAGATGTTTACCTTGCCTCATAAAGATCAGGTTCATTCTTTCAGAAAGAGTACCAAAATTAATGCATTGTTTTGAACCTGCAAACTATATGGTTTTTCTTATTTATTTAAAAAATCAGAATGTGGGGCGCCTGGCTGGCTCATTTGGTGGAACATGCAACTCTTGACCTTGGGGTCATGAGTTCAAGCCCCACATTGGGTGTAGAGATTACTAAAAATAAATAAAACTTTAAAAAAAAACCAAGATAAGTAAATAAGTAAATAAAAAGCCAGACGGTGTTGGAAACAGCATTTTAAATGCTTCTAATGACAAAGTTCCAATTAATATGCTTTCATTTACTCAAGTTAATTTTATACGTTCTATATCATAAATGTGTTTTCTTTTAAACATGGTTTGACTGCCTGTGTACCATACAGCAGGTTAATTGTTACAAAGATTCTGTTTTCTCTAAGTTAATAAAATTAAACATTTTCCCTCTTATATTGACTTCATTATTTCTTTGCTTGGCTTTGGAGATAAACTTCTCATGGTTAGCTCCCCTTCGAGTTTAGCTTTTACCTAAAAGTTCATGAATCTCACTACTTTTTCTTCTGAAATGCTTATTTCCCTGAACTGGGGATGCCCAGTCCTGGTGTCCTTTGTGACTTTCTGACCTGTATTATTTTTTAAATAATTCATTATTTCTTTTTAAAGTCACCCTCTGTTACTTATTTCATCTTCGTTGTGAGGCGTGTCTTAAAGAGCTTAGTGTAGATCAACCTTTTTCTTTTGAGTCTAAGCCCTTTTCTCTAATTTTTTTGAAATTTATATTTGATTTGTTTGTTATGGTAAAAAAAAAAAAAACCCATTAGCAAAACGTACCATCTTAAACCATTTTTAGGTGTACAATTTAGTCGTGTTAGGTGCATTGGCATGGATGTGAAACATACCTCCAGAACCTTCTCATCTTGCAAATCCAGGGCCCTGTGCCCATTCCGACTTTCTAACACAGGATGTGGTCCAGTGGGAACAGTCTTGCATGCTGCTTTTTTCCACGGCAGACCTTTGCCCCATCTTCTGGGCACAGGTTGTGGACACTTCAGAATGCACAGCCGTCTTCTTTGCTTGTTTCCAGCTCTCTCCTGTTCCCCTCACTCAAAGACATTGATTTCATTTCTCTTCCTCTTTCTCGAACACGTATTTTCAACCTTTAACTGGCCATGTTTGTTCTCTGCTTTTATCGATCCTTCATCCACTCCATAGACATTTATTCGGTAAGCACTGTGGGCCGGGAGCTGTTCAGGGTGCTGAGATGCAGCTGGGAGCAGGGCAGGTGCACCATGGTGCTGTCAGCCCGTCGTCACGCCTCCCCAGCCACCTTCCCTCCAACGTCGCATCTGTGGTCTCTGTCTGCTCTTTTCAGCCATGTTATCCTTGCAAATGAGTTATTGCCGTGAGATTTCCCCTCCATGTAAAAACATAACATACCCTGAAATCGCTGTCTTTGGGACCTAACTATTGACCTCCTCCTTAAAGAGATGGTGCTCCTCTTGGCTACTGCTCACTCTGGGCTTTGCCTCACACACCTCAGCAATTCCAGCTCTTCTTGAGCCATTTCTGGGCTGGGCCCATGCTACCTCCTTCTGCCCTTCCTTTGAGCTCATAGAACATGAAGGGGACATAGGAAGCTCTAAACTCAGCAGTTGTCAGCCTTCGGCCTGGCATCAGAGCACATTTCCACTTTGGTTCGTTGTGCAGACCTCCCAGAAGGATCTGACCACTGCTTCTTTAGAGCGCACTTCCAAAGACAAGGATTCACCCGCTACAGCCGAGGCGTGGAACTGATAAGGGGCTCGTGTCTGCCGTCTGAGATCCCACAGTCCGGCTCTCCGTCCTGCACAACCCCTAGAGAGCGCAGTTGAATTCAGGTGCCTACTGTCCTCACGCAGAGTGCACGCAAGCCGCCCTTCTGGTAGAGTTGCGGTATTTCCTATGTGCAAAGAATTTTAAACAAGGAAATCTGAAGATCTGAGTTTTAAATTGAGTTTTGTCCCTTCATGAACCAAGGGGGCCATTTAGCCTCTCACTGTAAAATCACTGTCTTGTCCTACCAGCCTGCTAACACAGGGCTGCTGCGAGAAGCAAGCACGCCAATGGTTGGGAAAGCCCTCTAGATGTCTGGAACGTTCTGCAACATTAGGGGTCCTCTTCATTGCTACCATTCTATTGAACGGATACTGTTTGCCAGGGACTTTTCTTCATGTTTCAGTGGATTGACTCGTTTAATCCTCACAAAAACCTTATGAGGTGTAGATACCATCACTGTCCCCAGTTGACAGATGACGTAGCTGTGTTAGTTTGGGTCTGCTGAGCAACAAATGCCAAGATGGGGTCAGCTGTGTAGGCGACTTGCTGTGGGGGGTGTGGGAGGAGGGAAGCTGCGCCTTCAGCCCACAGCGCACGTCTGACACCCGTGGAGGGAGCAGGGACAAAGGGGGACTGGGGAGGAGGTGGCTTGGCCTGCCGCACAGCTCAAAAGACAGCTTGGCCAGGCAAGTCAAAGGGAAGTCCAAGCCACGGTCATGCACCGGAGGAGCCCTGCGTCTCCATGGAACGGTCCTGTCCCAGTACCGCTCCGTGCGTGGGCACTGGGCAGGAATAGCCACCCGACACGGGGCTCTAGGGCAGCAGCTGTGGCCTGTGGTCAGTTACGTCCCCTGAAGCTGGGAGCCACGCCCCTTCTTGGCCACTGCGATCACTGAGGCACAGAGCTAAGGGACTCACCCACATGCTACCGGTAGGCGTGGAGCCTGGTGGTGTGAGTCCAGGGTCGTTGCTCAGAACCGCTGCCCCTCCTGACCACGTCCCTCCCTGCAGCTGGAACCATCAGTCAGGACATCTGTAGTCACACAAAGGTGGGCGTTTGAAAGCCACACCAAGGAATCAGTCCTGTTCATAAAAATCATCTCAAAAAATTAAGAATATTTTTGAAACATCCTTACCTTGCCGTCATTCCTCCACAAACTTATCTGAGCCCTTCCTGGGTGGTTTTTTATCAGGGCTGTCGGGTATCTTAGAGCAATGAATTCGGTGAGCTGACCTTGTCAGCTCGGTTCTTTGTCACAGATGAGCTGTATGAACAGTCTTCTGGTTTCAGAATTCCAGGACTGTGACTTCCATAGTGTTCTGAATTCTGACAGTTGGATCACTGGTGCCTTTGAAACTGGAGTTTTTGCATTTTTTTTTGTTTGTTGTTTTTTTTTAATCATGTACGTTTTCCCTGATCGTTCAAAAGCCCATTTTCTGACTCTTCTGTGATCCTCTCCTCAGAAGTGCAAAGACCTGGACCATGTGCCCTGTCTTGGTTCTTCAGAGCTCTCATTGTTTATGCTCCTTCAGTGTGTGTTTGTAAAACATCTCCTTGGTTTTAAGCATGGCCTTGGTTCCTATAACTGAGGATTTTTCACCCCAGTGAGCAAATGCCCAAAAGATCAATTCAGGGAGCTCTAAGCAGAGGAGAGCTAAACAGTCAACAAACACTTGGGAAAAAAAGGTTCAGCCCCTTGATCAAGGCAAACTTAAAACATTTCTGAATTACCACTTCACAAATCAATAAAATTAATGCCGAAATCAATAAAACTGGTGCAACCATTGGCATGAGGGTTGTGAGAACATGTCATCAGAGACCCTTTTGGTACGATCTTCTGTAGATCAGTGTGGCACTCCACAGGGAGAGTCCTAAGACGATCATGTCATTTCCGGGGCCCAACTTTGGGGACTTTGTCCAGGGAAAGAAAAAAGTGAAAGACATTTGGGAATCACATACCTATATGCTGTAAGTTGTCCAGATCGGTTTCTGAGGCGTGTCCAGACTGTCACAGTGAAATAGAATATGCCCACCAAAGTAACTGCATCCCCGGATTATTGCCTTGACCTTGGAAGGAGGAGCTTCAGCAGTTCAGTGAGGGAAAGCCCTCAGTCCCACATATCCTCACTGCCTCCCTGAAGGTCACTGCTAGAGTACCAGAGCCCCCTGGAAAATACTGGATGCAACTTGATCTCAAAGTGAGGGCAGGAGCCCTGTTTGAATCAAGACTATCTCCTTCTTTGAAAGAATAGTTTCTCGTTTGTTTGGGGATAGTTGGAGTTTATCTTGCTGAGGGGAGCTGCTCTGGCCTACTGCTCTTGGAGAGGGTGATTAACACTTTTGTCTCTGTTTCCCGCAGCATCTCAGTACAAATTCGCTCCGGTGAAATCCTTTTTCTGCAGGATCCGGTAAGTCTAGGGGCTTGTGGGGGCCAGGAACGGTGGGTTATGCTCTGATTTCATTTGGCCCTTTTCAGATTCTTTTGTATTCAGCTAGCACTGGGTTCTTGCCACAAGAAGTTTTTATTTTGATTGAGGAGAAGAGCGGACACTCACAAAATGACTAGATAATGCAGTCAGGAAAAAGAACAGAGAGATCATTCTTAGCCTGGGGGTGCTCGCTCTCTCTCGTGCTCTCCGTCTCTAAGAACCGCTGGATGATGTTAATTACACTTTCAAATGCCCATTGTTTGGGGATCTTTTGTTCTTTGTTTGGTTTGGTCTCATTTAAAATTAATTTTTGAAATTTTACTTTATTTTTTTAATTTTTTTTTTAAGCGAGCTCTGTGCTTAACATAGGGCTTGAACTCGTGACCTGGAGATCAAGAGTCACACGCTCTACCGACTGAGCCAGTTAGGCGCCCCTAACTTCTTAAATTTTAAATAACTCTAAAGAAAGTAAGATAGGTATGTCTAAGAGGATTTAAAAGGCTCAGACATAGTGAACTGGAAAACAGACCAAAATTTTAATCGTAGTTGATTTCTGATAGGATTTATTAGTGATTTTTTTTTCTCTCCTGAACTTACGGTGATGTGTTCATGTTACTTTTGCAATAAGAAGAAAACGTGGTTCAGTGACATCACGATTGCCAGCATGAGCGTTGAAGTTAGTAAAGGCTCCAGATGTGGAAAACTCAAGAGAAGGCTCCTTACCTTGTAATGGATCAGTCAGCACTCCATGGGGTTGGGGGCCTTGAGCTAAGAGCGTTCCAGTGCTTGGGGAGGGCTACCCCGGGGAAAGGGTGCAGGAGGGAGGGCTGTGTTGGTTCATTCATTCCTTCCCAGATGAGTTGTTATGAAGCTCTTGGAACAGTGCTTGCCACGGACAAAGTACTGTTTGTGTTTGTTTTGCTAATAAATATATTTGTGTGCCTTCTCTGAGCCAGGCAAGGTTACAGGTGCAAAAGTTCTTGCCCTCATGGACCTTCCGTTCTATGTGTGGGGGGAGACCAATAACAAACAGGTACCTACGTATGTGTCCTCTGGCAGTAAGTTCTGTGTGGATCAGTGAAGGAGAGTGAGAGAATTCTGGGCAGGGGAGAGATTGCTAGTGTGTTCAGGGTGGTTAAGGAATGTTCTCTAATAAGAAGCCTGATTTGAGCCAGAGCCTGAAGGAGGTGAGGGAGCGAGCCATACCTCTATCTGAGGGAAGAGTGTTCGAGACAAGTGCAAAGGCCCTGGGGCAGAGCATGCTTGGCTTGTAGGGGTAGTAACAAGGAAGCTAACGTGGCTGGAGCAGAGAGTGGAAGGAGATGAAGAAACAGGGACCAGACTGTCGGGAGCTTTGATTTCTGAAGGAAATGTTTTGTTCAGGTTAAGCATTTATTTGAAAACTTTACTATCGGAATTTGCAAAATAACATGGAAGTCGAAGCAATAGTACAGTGAACTGGTATGTAGTCACCGTTCAGCTTCAGTAACATTAACCCGTGGCCAGTCTTCTGTCATCTCTGCCACCGCCTGCACCTCAGCCCACCCTCCCCGTGATCCTGAAGCAGATCTCAGACCGTGTATCATTTCCTCCATGAGCATTTCAGAGTGTGAGCTAAAACATAGGGTTCTCGTTCATCTCCGTGATGCTCAAGTGGTCCCGTCTGTAGCCAGCAGGAAGCCCTTCAGGTTAGCTCCAGTGCCGTGTGAGGGCACCCCTGTGGTCGCTGACAGCTGCCTTTCTTCGGGCACAGTGGCCCAGGCCCCGCCTAGACGTTTCCTACCTCAGATGTGGAGTCCGTCATTTCTCCAACCACCCCTCATTCCTTGTGGTGGGAAATGGCATTACCGTATGGAGCCCAAGCAGCCTCCTCCTGGCTTCTGGGAATCCTCAGTGGACAAAGATAGGACAGTTTCATTTTTCAGAAGGACAAGAACTGGCATGAAAGGACCATGCTGGGCGCTGGGCTAGAGAAGGTGCAGGGACGACAGTCAGCAGGAAGGGCTGTCACCCCAGGCGGCGGTGGCAGGAAGATGTGGAAATATTCTGGATGTTTTGGGGTATTCTGGATATTTCTGTACAGGAAAGTTATCGGAGTTCATTAATGGACATTTTGGGGGTGAAATAAAGGATTCGGCAAGGGTGACACAAGGGTCCCTGATTCCAGTGGCCCTTTACTGGGGGCAAAGGCAACCAGGAGAGCCGCCTCCTGGAGGGAGGAGGGGAAGAGTCCGGCGCCTGGTTTTAGACAAGTTGATTCGCCCTATCTGTTGGAAATATAACTTGCAGGGTTGACTCGGCGTTGGTACGTGGCTCTGGAGTTCAGGGAGAAGGTAGAGACAGGTGCTACAGACAGGTACTCGGGTCGTCAGCGCGGACAGGACATGGAGAAGCCGGGGACGGGATGTCCCTGGGAGCCGCGTGCACAGAAACAGGAGGGAGTGGGAGACACAGCACAGCTCGTGGGTCAGGGTCAGTGTTAGGCCGCTGTCTTTTCTCAGTGGCAGAAGTGGGGTCACGGTTGAGAGTGGAGGCACCAGAGTCTGCAGAGAGGCAAGGAAGCGAGGTGGGGGTGGGAACGCCAGGGCACGTGGCCGTGGAGCTTCTAGGCAGCTAAAGACCACCTGACATCACTCCGAACAATGGTGGGAGAGGCACGGTGTGACTCGTAGAAACGGGGGAGTATGGATTCGGTTGTGCGCATGTTGACACTCAGGTGACCGTGGTGTATCCAAGGAGGAATGTCCTCCGGGCAGCTGGAGCTCCGGGCAGCTTTTCACTCCCAGGGTGAAAGCCTGGGAGTTGAGCCGCCCCTGCCCACGGAGGTGCCCCACAGCCGGGGCTGGGGCTCGCCGAGCAGGTTCTAGCCCTGCTTTCCTGCTCAGGCAGGCATGTAAGGAGTCGTTCCCCACACACAGGGTCCTCTGCCCATCCAGGTAGTAGCTGAAGCTGTGAGACTCGGTCAGTCCCCTGAGAGAGTGTAGGTAGGGACAGTGGAGAGCTGCCTTCAGGGGCATGATCACAGGGAACCCTGATTTCTGTCATGTGGTACTTGGTTTAGACACGTGAGATAAGACAGGGAAGTCACATCGGGAAGTTATGGTTTGGGTGAAAAGAAAAGTCATGGGATGGCTAGTTCCATTTTTAACCTACTAAACTGGTTCTCCACAAAACCTCTTTTTCCTTGAATAATGAATGAGTGTAATTATCCTTGGGTATCGAAAATGTAAACTAACATTTCTTTTTAAAATAAAGACGTTTAAACATTTTAGATTTGGATAGGTCTCTCTCGGAAATCAAGAAGGCGTCTCTCCTGGCCTTGTTTCACATTGGGCTCCCTGAATGCATCAGGACTGGTTACTCATCCTTTCTGTGCTTTTCAGGGGAGGCCAAGACACAGAGCAAGAAAAGCATTACTACCCATTCCGTATTATCCCGTATCTGATGTATGTACGTAGCTCCACCCAGCTGGAATCTGAGCCCTGCTGTCTCACCCTGGTGGAGAAGATTCACTCTGGTTATGAAGGTAAGTCAGGAGTGTCTGCTTTCAGATCAAACGTAACGGGACAGCACCTCAGGTAGGAACGTGTGAAAGCCTGTTTACGGCAGCCACAGAACCAGAAAAGAGTGCTGGAGGCTTCATGTTGGCCCTGAACTCTTGGGCATTTAGAGCTGATCTGCCCTGATGTTTCCTGACCCTGACTTCTTGGTGGTTGTCTCCTTCAAGGTCGGCACGGCCCTAAGGGTCTAAGCACAAACTTGGCCACCAATACCTGGTCCTCTGATCCATTCTGTACTGGTGACTGTCATGTGGCCTTTGGCTTCTGCCCTGTATGAAACAAGAACATGGAACTTGGGGGTGCCTTGGTGGCTCAGTCGGTTAAGCACCTGACCTTTGGTTTCAGCTCAGGTCATGATCTTACCAGTTGTGGGATGGAGCCCCGAGTCGGGCTCCATGCCTAGTGGGGAGTCTGCTTGAGATTCCCTCCATCTGCCTCTCTCCCTACGCACACACTCTCTCTCAATAAATAAATCTTCAAAAAAAAAAAAGAGAGCATGAAAATTGTTGCACAGTGAGGTCACAAGAATGAATTTATATTTTTTACGTGTCCAGAAAGCCCTTGAGTGAAAACTGTAGTTTCTATCCTCCGGTGGCAGAACTACATTTCCAAATTCATGGGTTAATACACAAGCAGCTTCCATTTGTTATTTGAAATTAAAGTCAGTTCTGCTGTAATCTGACTGTGCTTTCCTAAAAATTACCATCCTATGCAAAAAGACCAAAAAAAAAACCCACACCAAAATATATACACACACACACACACACACACACAAAACCACAGGGCTTAAGGAAAAAATGTGTTTAGGGGCACAACACTCAAAAACTTAACCACACATTAAAAATAAACCAGGAAGCTAATAAAAACAATAACACAGCTTTACACACGTTAACTTGTTAAGAAATACACAGATGCTACAGTACATGAGGCGCCTCACCTTGGAGAAGCCCCGCGGTGGCTCCCGGACGTGGGTGGTGGCAGGCCTGCTCCTCTTCAGTTAACTGTGAGGGTGGAAGGGGGGGCTGTCTGAAGTCAGGTGTGGACAGGCGTGTCTCCTGTCACAACACGCAGTGCACAGAGGTAGCCCTAGATGAGGGGTGTGCGTGTGTTTGTGTATTCTTGGGGGACTCCATTCACCTCTCATTTCTTGCAGATGAAACTGTGCATGATTTCAAATCACTGCGTTTTCGAAGTGAGCTACAGTCGAACTGACCATACCAGTTTTCTGACACAGATTTAAAATATCCGCATCATAACTGACACCAAATCCAATGTACTTAGTTATACACCACCACCAAATACCACCAGGCTTGCCAGGCCTGACCTTTCATTTCCTCCAGCTTTGACTGTGGGATTGTGATGAGTAAACTTTCTGTACACACAAACTCTATTTAAAATTAACTTCAGTAGGCATCGCATTTTGACCTATTTGAAATGTAGTTAATAATGACAAGTATTATAATTTAACCGTAGCCTTGGCTTCTTGAAGGCCAGGGCCCTGAGTGAGATTTCTTCCATTTCATATAGAGATATAGTTTCCTCTTTAATGTAAGTGCTCAGTTAAGTGGATGACTGATTAGATACTTGCCTTTAGGTGAGTCTGTCTGTTTTTCATAGCTCCTCGAATCCCAGCAGATAAAAGAATTTTTACCACAACACACACCCCAGGCTGTGTCTTTCTTGAAATAGATGAAAGGTAAGTGCTTCTTCAAGCCTGAAAGAAATTTTGTTTCTGAAAATAGATAGAAATGTGAGAACATTTACATTATGTTTACATACCTCTCCATTATGAAATGGACATCTATCCATTTGCCCCTTTGATTTGTTAGCTTGAAGTTTGTGTTTTAATAATATATGTATCTTGCATATTATATGTCTAGTTTACAAGTTATATTTGATTTCACAGTAGTCTGCTTTAGGTAAGTCAGGAATTATTGTTCCACATTACACGAGAGAACAGTGAACCTGGATATGGTATGTGATTGTCCTCTAAAGGAGACCAGAACTCTAACTCTGGCCTCGAGCTCCTATGCGAGCATGATTTCCACCAGACAGGTGCTTTGCTAAATACCTTTTGATGAAATGTTTATGAGTCTGAAATGAGGGGGAGAAACAAAAGGAAAATAAGAACAGATTTTTTTCTGGTAAAGCTAAGTTTACTTAATTTAAAGCATCATCAGTCATTTTGAACTTACGTCTTTTCTACTTTTTTTGGTATTAAAGTGCTCTTAAAGAATAGTGATATAGGTAGTAGTCATTGCTTATTGTTGTTTTCTAATACTTTTATTTGGAAAAATAAACATTGTTATCCCCTGGTGAGTACCCTCTGTTTCCCCCCCGTTTATTTTTGAATTTTACTTATTTGTGAAATCTGGAAATCTGGGGCTCAGTGCACCATGGCGCACGTAATTGTAAAGCAACAAAGTCAAAACGGCTGGCACAGTTATGGTAGCTCTTAATTTTGATTTTTAAAAAATCTTATCTGAAAATAGGTTTATTTTATAATGGATACCCTGAATCTAAACAATAATTGGTGAAATACTTTGTATCATGGAGTCTGTAGAAAGAACATTTAGCTGCAGATACCATGGTAATGGCTTAAATTTATTGCATTAGAAAATGTTTGAGAATTTGTACACACAGATAACATCTATGGAGTCAGTTCTTTCTAAGTCATCCTGAAGGCTCTGCATTCACGGCCCTCCCTAAAGCTTTATCCTGCACATGTCTTTGTGTTCCTGGTGTCTATTTGTTATTACCTTCTGGGAGATACTGTTTCTGTGTGGTTTTAATTGTGCTGGATAAATCTGTAGCCTGCTTTATTAACACCATAAGCATTCTTCTGCATTATGATGGGATCTTTGTAAACTTTTTAAATGGAGAAGGGGGGGCAATCAGAGACCCCTGAGGAACTTGCTAAAAATACAGATTCCTGGTCTTAAGCCAGAAACTCTGATTTAGTTAGCCTGTGGTGAGCCTGTGAATTGTTTTCTAGCAAGTTCCATAGGCGACTTTGACACATGTCCAATGCCCAGCATTTCTTAAATTGTGGAACCGTTTTCCCCATGGTGTGGGCACTGAGGTGGTTTGCTGCTTTTATAAATGCTGGAATGACATCTTTTGCATACCTTTTTTTTTTTCATATTTGGAATTAAGTAAAAAAGTATCGTTTAAAGTGTATAAAGTCTGAAAATTTCTTGTTGCATGTAACGTGCTGTGTGTGCTGTGTCTCTACCCCAGAGCGGTGCCTCTGCTGGGTTACCTACCTCAGGATCTGATGGGAACGTCTGTCTTAGCATATCTGCACCCAGAAGATCGTTCTCTCATGCTTGCCATACACCAAAAAGGTAAGGACTCGCTTCTTTATAGGAGGAAGTTTTTGTGTAACCACTCATCCCCTCTAATTCTTTATTTCATTTCTTGTTAGATCTTCTCATAAGCTCTTAATCACTAGAGCTCAACCTTTAACAGGTGAGCACTGTGTTGAAGCTGCTAAAACAATTTTTTTTCTATTTTGACATCTGAAAAACTTACAAATAAATGCCTAGAAAAAGACATCTGCAGTAAATATCTGCATTAAATAAATTCTGATCTCGTCATATTATCTTATATAGTCTTGAAGTATGCAGGCCACCCTCCCTTTGAACACTCACCCATTCGATTTTGTACTCAAAATGGAGATTACGTCATCTTGGACTCCAGCTGGTCCAGCTTTGTGAACCCATGGAGCCGGAAGGTATCGTTCATCATTGGTCGGCATAAAGTTCAAACGTAAGTCAGTCAGTGTTCATGGTTTTAGAAGAACGTTTTTACCAAATAGTATTCTTCCACCTACTGCCTCCCTTTGACTCAACTGATACATAAACCAAATAAAGCACAGATTTTTTTTTTAAGTGCTTTTGGGAGGGAGTTTTGCAGTGTGTGTCAAGAACCTTGAAAGATTTCTACCTCTTTGACTTCATGATTCCCTTATGGAAACAGTCTAAGGAAATAGGCCTAAATACAGAAGAGCTTTATAAAGAAAAGACATTGTCACCATTGTTCAATCATAATGGCAGACTTAGAGTAGCTTATATGTTGATCATTAAGTTAAGTTCTAGACTATTTGTTTGACACGTCGTATTATTGGTCAAAGGAAATTTTTGCAAAGATTATATAACATGAGAAATTGATATATATTCGATTTAAAAAGCAGCATACAAAATTGTTTATACCATATGAATATAAATGTGTTCGGATGACACACAAACACTGTGAAGTAGGAAAAAGAAGAAGAAAGGAAATAAAATACAAATTTTGGCTATGTTTAGGTAACGGGATGAGGGTTGGTTTGTTTTGGGGTTTTTCTGTCTTTTCTGAATTTTAAAGTTCTCTATAGTGACACGTAAAACTTTTTATATCAGCTTCTGCTGTCAAATTCCACTTATTTGTGTTCATTGTATCAAATCTTTATTTTTAAAAATTAGATGCTTTAGCTGTTATTTTCCTGCCAACACGGCTGACTCTAGCCTGTTTGATTACTGCTACCGTCCACATAACAGAACCTTGTGAAATGAATCTGGAACAACCTGGCCTGCTACTCTTGTAGCCTAAAATACTCCCAGTCCCTTGACTTCTTGGTTTAAAGTTTAAAATTGACCTGTAGGCTTCTCAGCTGGGCCATAGATTCCCCTGTGGTAATGTTTTATTTTTTGTTTTTTTTTTTAAGCATGGGAATTTTACTTAACTCTTTTAGGATCATGCTGAGATTGAGACATTATGTCTTTTGTGTTTTATTTTACAGTTTTGTAAGCGTAAAACTGAGAACAGTAGGTCTTCCAGTAAGACTTCTTTTGTCATATTTTAATACTATAATAGAGGGCGCCTGGGTGGCTCAGTTGGTTAAGCGACTGCCTTCGGCTCAGGTCATGATCCTGGAGTCCCGGGATCGAGTCCCACATCGGGCTCCCTGCTCAGCAGGGAGTCTGCTTCTCCCTCTGACCCTCTTCCCTCTCGTGCTCTCTATCTCTCATTCTCCCTCAAATAAATAAATAAAAATCTTTAAAAAAAAAAATACTATAATAGAGGATACCTAGCCATGGTGAGAAACGGTCCCAAGGTCCTCCTATGTCTTTGTGCTCTGGGGTTTGGCCTCTCAGCAGAGCAGGTCTGGAACCCTAATGGGAGAAATGGGCTCCTTGCTGCCTTAACTCAAGAGACCAATTTGTACTAGAAAACTAATACAATAAGTAGGATAAGAAATATGACTGCCAATTCAGTGTTATTCATGTTGGTCAGAAAGGACTTTTTTTTCTGGTAGGGAAATCTGTGGGGAAATGAAAATAAAATCAGGTGGTTGCTTAGTATGACTATGGGAAAACCCCAGAGCAAGTACGATTGCTTTCATGAGGTGTCCCTCTGGGTGTCTGTCCATCGGTCTGCGTGCCTTCCCTGTCAGTGCCAGACCCATGTCCTAGATGCTTCAAGTGCCCTTTCAGTTTGATTATATAACGTATGAAATTAACTGATAAGTACTCACAGTGTTTGCAGTTAAAAAAAAAAATTATAAATTATACCAGCATTTGCATCTCAATTTCCAGGATGATGTGAAGGAAAAACTTAGAGTCTAGTAAGTGTTCATCACTCTTGTAAAATAATCATCCATTATATTTATACAACTGTTTTAACGAGGACTTATGGGTCACCTGCTATGCCGGGCATTGTGCTAGACCCTGAGACTAAGATGGTAGACCACACAGACAGCGTCTCCACTGTCCTGGGGCCCACAGTGCAGTGGGAGAGCCAGGACCTAGAAATGGCAGAGCTCTTCCTGACTACTCTTATGACACTGCTAATATCCTGTGTTTTTTTTTGATAATTGTTTCTTTGGGAAAGTATGTTTTTAGGGAACTGGGTTGTGTGTTTAAGTTGTGAGAAACAACAGCAGGATGGCAGAATGGAAAAAGGAAGGCACTGGCTTTGGAGTCAGGCATGTAGATTCAAACCCTGACTGCTGCTTCTCAGGTATGAGAGTCAGCAAGTAACCCAACCTCTCTGGCATCATGATAATTCCTGCTTCATAGGGTTGGGAGGTCTCAGGAGGTGACATGTCTGACTCAGTGTATCACGTTAATAGTACTTGAGTTACTGAGGTGCTGAGAGGCAGTACATTGTGGTGGCAAAAGTGCACTCTGAAGCCTAGACTCTGGTCCCTTCATGTATACCTGCTTAGGCTTTACCAGCTAGGTGACTTTGAGAAGTTTTCAACTCCGGTGAAGGAGGTAATACTTGCTAGAGCACTTGGGACAGTGCCTGGCACATTGTAAGGATTTAAAAAATGTTATTCTTGCTGTATGTTATAAAAGTGGCATGGTTCCTGTCACATAGTAGGTCCTAAATGAACATCATTTCCTTCTCTTCTTTGTGATGTTTTCTGAGGACACATCTGCCTTCCACTGTGTTCAGGCAGTAGTTTTGAAACGCTCTAGTGTAAACAAGACTACAGGTTGTGACAGCCACATTTTCACCAATAGTTGGGTTGCTGAAGTGATTAGGTACATTAAACATTAAATGTTGTTTGGCGGACCTAGGGTCTTAAAATTTCTACAGTAGGTTATTCAGTTAATGTTAAATTTTGAGACCGGTAGTTGTTGAAGATATTTTGGTAGCTAAGGAGGTTACTCGTCACTGATTTTAGATCTCTACAAAAACAGTGCTGACACAGATGTTGAAAGATTAGAGCTCTAGACGATCCAAAGAAGCCTCTTGATGTCTTAGTATTTTTTCTGCCTCCATAGATGGGATTTAGGTTTATATTTTCTTTTTTTTTATAAATTTTTTAAGATTTTATTTTATTTATTTGACAGAGAGAGAGAGACAGCGAGAGAGGGAATACAAGCAGGGGGAGTGGGAGAGGGAGAAGCAGGCTTCTGCAGAGCAGGGAGCCCGATGCGGGGCTTGATCCCAGGACCCTGGGATCATGACCTGAGCCGAAGGCAGTCGCTTATCCACTGAGCCACCCAGGCGCCCTAGGTTTTTATTTCCTATTTGAAGTCAAAGAGTTGCTTTGTAGAAGTATAGATTTATTATTTGAACATTCTGTTTAAAAATCCCTTTAGACTTTATTGTAAATTTTTAATTGCCTGACTCCCTCTTGCACTTGGCACTTTGTAGGAGTCCACTGAATGAGGATGTTTTTGCTACCAGAAAAAGAAAGACGAACAGTAATGACAAAGACATAACAGAATTACAAGAACAAATTCACAAACTTCTCTTACAGGTAAAGTGAGATTTTAAGAAGCAAACACAAAATTTCCATAATCGTGTTTTAACAGTCGATCTTAGTGAAGTCACCTCACAAAAATACACCGCAAGGAGAGAAATCTTTACCCTCTGCGTTCCAGGAATTTTTGTCTTCCTGTTTTTGTTTTTAAATTCAGTTTTATTCATCTTGTTTTCCTTTTCCTGAGTGAAATGCACAGAACATTCTTGTAAGATCCCATTCTAAGAGACCAAAGCTAGTCAGCAGGCAGACAGGGAAGCTTGTCTCTAAGTGAGAGCATCCTTCGTGTATTCCGAACGCTACCCGTGTGCTCGCCTTCTGGCTTTTGGCTTCAGTATTTTAAAAAATAATTCCAATTTTAAAGGTGGGGACAGAGGGCAGGTCTCCGTATCTGGTTATTACAGGGCAAACGTGGGGGAAACTACCTGTTGAAAACAAATGCCAGCCATGATTCCTGTGGAGATTCCATTAATAAACCGGTAAAGCGTTTACGGATGGTGTCCCCGAGAAAACCGTGAGCCCCGGAGCTTCCACGCGGTCTTTCATAGAATCTCTAGGGTTCACGAATGAAGTTCATGGAACAGAGCATGGTGTGTATTTAATTTCTTCAGTCTGTTCTAAACTCTGCATAAAGAGCTAGAGTTTATTTCCATATTTTGTTCAGTCTGTTCTATGTGGCTTCCTAAAAATTCGTGGTTCTAGAAACGCCCGCCTAGACTAGAAAACGAGGCCCTGCCCCTGAGAACTGCTGAAAGGAGAGAGGAAGGCCCTCTCTGTCAGCAGCCGAGTTAAAGGCGTCGGCCTTCACACGCCCGACTTACGGGTTCAGGGAGGTCCGTGCTACTGTAAACTCGGAGGCGGACGCCCCGGCTCTCCTCCCGGCCGCGTCGCCGGAGCGCCTCCTTCCTTCAGCCGCGCCTCCTTCTTCCTTCAGCCGCTTCACCTGAGCGCCTCCAGCGGCTACGGAAGCCTGGGCAGCAGCGACTCGCAGGAGCCGCGCGTCAGCCTCGCGGCGTCCAGGGAGGCCGGCGGACCCCGCGCCGAGGCGGCGCGCAGGGAAGCGGTACGTGAGCGACGTCGTGCGTGCGTGCGTGCGGGCAGGCGGGCGTGCGGGCGGGCGTGCGTGCGTGCGGGCGGGCGGGCGGCGTCCTTCCCGTCCCCGGCCTCGTGGTGGGGGACGGGTCAGCACCGCTTCTGCGCCTCAGCGTTGTATGTCCTTGACCCCCTGGGACCGTGTTTGATGAACAGACGTCCTCGTCCATTTTGGGTTGAAAAAACGCCTGTTTGGGTTCATCGTGTGCTTTCTAATAATCACCGTATTGTGGACAGATTTATTTAAAGTTGCGTTTGGCCTGGCGTGCTGCGGCCCAGTGGGGAAGCGGGTCAGCGTTGTTACTGTGCCTTTAGTCGTGTCTTCAGAGAACCAGGGGTTAAACGTACTCTGTCTTTTAATGTGTTTATTGTTTATCTTTTAATTTTCTGATTTTTGAAACATCGTCTGTCATTCTTCTCTCTAAGCTGACTTTGCAGCAGGTCTGTGCCAGTGTAAACAAAATTAAGAATCTAGGTCAGCAGCTGCACATTGAGTCAGTGGCCAAGTTACCAGATGAGCGACTGACGGGGACGCGCACGGGACGGCCTGGTGGTGAGTCAGCAGGGCCGCCCCCAACCCCCTGCCGCGGTTCTGCCCTCTCCTGCGTGGGCGTGGTGCGTGCGAGCCCAAAGCCACGACCCTATGCTTCCACCTTTCACATTGGCTTGCCCAGAGGATGATGGAAATAATCATAATGGTCGCAGCAAATACTGCCCTGAAAGCTGTGTGGTATTAGAGTGTAATTTCTCTATATTTCCACTGGAGAATTAACGTTTCTGATAATACCAAGCAGATTCATAGATTCTCCCACATGAGGCATCTGTCAACAGAAAGAGTAAATTTAAGAGTGCATCTCGTAATAATCGCTTCTTGTCATTTAGAACAAATGAAGGATATTTATGACCTAAATTAAATGAAAAAGTGGGGACTTTTTTTTTTTATGGATACATGTTTACTTTTCTCAGATATGAGGTAAGGAGCGTTCCAAAGGAATTGGATCACTCATGATACCTGACGTTTTTAGAAAAGTCAACCTACTGGCCTTATATAGCAAAAGAAAGATCTATAACGTAGAGATCAAATTATATTAACTTTTTAGTGTAGCTAGCTTTCCCTTCAGTTGTTTTCCTGAATGTTAGTATAACTTTGGAAGTCTATCGGTTTGGTCCTCTGAATGCTATTAATGGTCTGTATCATCGTCAAATGTGGGTATTTTACACAGTAGGGTGAAATTTCTTCTCTAAGGCCAATAAAAATTTTTAGAAAATAATAGCTATATTTTCCAGGGCTTGCCATAACTTACAAAACAGAAACATTCACGTGCTGCTTCTACAGGTGGTATCATGGGGAGCCCCTAGGCTGCCCTCTGGATAGAGCATGTCCAGCCCTTGAGTTTTTCTTGTCTTCTTGTCAGGAGGTTTAATATTCTGCCTGTCTCTTTTGCCATAGATGCAAAGGCACGAGATAGAAACAACACCTTTTTTGTCCTTGAACCTATCAGATTCTCTCTCTGCAAAAGAATTTATTTGAGTATCTTCCTTGCTGTATATTGTTATCCTATGTCCTAGCATTGGAACTTCTTTAGGGGGATTTGAAGACTGAAGTTTCTAAATGTTTTCGTTTTTGTCTGGTCCACTTTGTGCTGCTCACTGCTGCTTGGGCCTAGGACCTCACGTTAGGTCCACGATTTTATGTCCTGACCTCTGTATTTCTTGTCAGAGTACAAATTGTTTCTCACCTTCTGTTTTGTTCCATTTCTTATCATCCACCATTGGTCTGGAAATGCCATCAGTACCATGGTTTGAGGGCTGTGTTTTTAAGCAGACATCAATATTCCATCATCCACCATTTTATAAAATTTAAGCCATAACTAATTCTGTGTATTTATGATGTTATTCGAGAAACTGATACTATTCTCCTATTTAGCTATGTGCTGTATTTGACTCTAACACACATAGGATGTGACTTTTGGGAGAGAGGGAAAATCTGCCATTTAATATTGCTTGGGGGAGCTATTGTTAACTTGGGCATCTTGATTTTATTGTCATTTTAAGACCTACAAGTTCAAAGAGCTAGTAAAATATCTTTATTACTCCTTACTCAGAGAAACAAGTATGCAACTTAAAGATAAGAATGTTGTAATTCTAAATATTAGAAATAGCACCACTCAAAAGGAAAGTACTAAATAATCATTGTATACATGTTTTATGTACAGGGTGTCAGAGCCAAGAAGAACATAAGGTTTTAATAAGTTTGTATTTTTACCTTTCTTCTGAGGGCAGGTTTGGCTTTGAAATAGAACAAGAAAGGAAATTTTAGAAGTTAATATGGAAAGGCAAGGAGTAATGAAGATATAAAGTCCCTTCATCAGCTACATATACCGATGCCAGCTGCCAGAAGCAGTTGGGGAACTTGGGGAAAATGGACTTTCCCACTTCTAGAGTGTCAGCGCCTGTGGGAGAAACATTGATCCATGAACTGAACTCATTCAGGGTGAGCATACTTTGGTTTGTGCTCAGGGAGAGCTGGAAAGAACATCATTCCAAACTGACAAGGAAAAAAGCTATATGGCAGTGAGTTCATGAGCTTTCTTGAACCCATCAGAGTGCTGAGGCTCCAGGGCAGCCAACAGGCCTAAAATCTAAGAGGGACACATGCTTTCAGGGAGACATGAGATCAAGCCCCGGATACTGTGCACCGGCTGACAGAATCAGTAACTCGCAAGAGACAGGCCTCTGAGGCATAATGCAAAGGGGAGATCAGAGGCTGCAAGTGGAGCAAATATTGGCAAAAACCCAAAGCTCTCTAGCACACCAGCCACCACATAAGCACAAAGTGTCATTAGAGAAATTTGAAAGCTGTGATACATTGAGTGAAACCATAGCAACAACAAATCTCAGTCCTGGCCAACAAATTAGTTAGGTTAAATGTCTTCAGAGGAAAACTGAAGCTGTTAGTGCAGAATTCTCTACCTAGTGGAAAGTATCTTTAAGAAATGAAGGAGATCTAAAGAGTTCTCAAACAAAAAGGGGGGGGGATGTATATTGCCAGCAGATCTATTCTATGAGAAACACTAAGGGAGTTTCTAAAGGTGGAAGGAATATGGTACCAGACATAAAACTTGACACAAAGAAATGAAAAGCACTGGAAACAGAATTAATGAAGAAATTTTATTTTTTACTTATTTTTGATTGGCCTAAACTGACTAAAGCAGAAATACTCTCCTGCATTTATGACCTATGTAAAAATACTGTAAAGGATCAGAAGAGGCACTGGGAACGTGTTGCTATGGAGTCCTTATACCAGAAGCAATATGTTATTTGAGGGTAGAAACTGATTCCTTAAAGGTATATGTTGTGAACTTTAGAACAATTATTAGAACTTGTTTCTAAAGAAGTGTAAATAATGTCAGTAGAGGAGACAAAGCGGAATTTAAAACATTTAATGCAAAATGAAGCAGAAAAGAAACAAAAACCCAGATGGAATAAATGGAAAACAACAAAGTTGCATACTTTTAATTCAGCTGTTTCCGTAATCACATTAAATATGAATGTTCTCAGTGTACCAGCTGAAAGACTGAAATTATCAGTTGGATGAGAAAAGATAAGAAGCAGCTGCATAAGCCATCAAAAGGAATGAGATCTTGCCATTTGCAACGACGTGGATGGAACTGGAGGGTGTTATGCTGAGTGAAATAAGTCAATCAGAGAAAGACATGTATCATATGACCTCACTGATATGAGGAATTCTTAATCTCAGGAAACAAACTGAGTGTTGCTGAGTGGTGGGGGGTGGGAGGGATGGGGTGGCTGGGTGATAAACATTGGGTAGGGTATGTGCTATGGTGAGCGCTGTGAATTGTGCAAGACTGTTGAATCACAGATCTGTACTTCTGAAACAAATAATGCAAGATATGTTAAGAAAAAAGAAAAAGAAGAAGATAGGAGGGGAAGAATGAAGGGGAGTAAGTCGGAGGGGGAGAGGAACCATGAGAGACGATGGACTCTGAAAAACAAACTGAGGGTTCTAGAGGGGAGGGGGGGTGGGGGGATGGGTTAGCCTGGTGATGGGTATTAAGGAGGGCACGTTCTGCGTGGAGCACTGGGTGTTATGCACAAACAATGAATCATGGAACACTACATCAAGAACTAATGATGTAATGTATGGTGATTAACATAACAATAAAAAATTTTTAAAACAGCTGCATAGTATCTACAAGAACCCATTTTGCAAATAAAAACATAGGTTAAGAGCAAAAGGTTAGAAAAGATATGCATGCTAACAGGAATCCAAAGAAAGCTGAAAAGCTGTATTAATATCAGGTAGTGTAGACTTTAGGACCAGGAACATTACCAGGGTTTCAGAGGGATATTGCATGACAACAGAGGGGTTGATTCTCTCAGAGCACGTAACAGTCCTAAAAGATTATACACCTAACATCAGAGCTTCAAAATACATGAAGTAAACACTGATAAAGACTTTGAGAAATAAATCTGCAGTGGTAGTTGGAGACTGTAACACACCCCTCTGTGTAATTGATAAAACAAGTGGAGAGAAAATCAGTAAAGATGTAGAAGACCTGAACAGCACTGTCAACAGAATTGGCCTAGTGGACATTGATGGAACACTCCAATCAACAACAATATGATGCTTATTTTTCTCAAGGGCACATGGACCATTCATTAAGATAGACCTTATTCTGGGCCATAATACCAGCCTTACCAATTTTTTAAAAATATAAATCCAAACAAATATATTCTCTGACCTAATGGATTAAACTAGAAATCAGTAACAGGAAGGTTTATCTAGAAAAATCACAAATGTTGGGAAATTAACACACCTCTGAATGACCCACAGGTTAAGGCCTTAAGGGAAGTAAAAACATTTTGAACTGAATGAATTGAAAAAAAAAAGTTGTGGAATGCAGCTAAAGCAGTGCTTAAAGAGAGATTTCTAGCATTAAGTGATTATATGAGAAAAAGAAGAAAGGTCTCAAATCAAAATCTAAGCTTCCTCCTTAAGAAACAAGAGCAAGAAGAGCAAATTCAATCCAAGCTAAGCAGAAGGAAAGAAATCAGAAAAACCAGATTATCGATGGAAGTGAGAACAGAAATCAATAAAAGAAAATTAATGAAATCAAAAGCTGATAAGAATAAAATTAACAAACCCTTGGCCATACCAAACAAGAAGACAGAAATGCTCACTATTGGGAATGAAAAATCCCACAGATGTTAAAGAGACTACAAACAACTCTGTTCCCAAACTTTGGTCTATTAATAAGAAAGAACCTATCAGAGCTCTGTGAAAAAGAAATAGCTAGAATAGACTTATGTCTGTTACAGATACTGAATTTGAAGTTAACACCTTCCAAAAAGAAAAGTTTAGGCCCAGCTGGTTTTACTGGAGAATTCTATCAAACATTCAAGGAAGAAATAATGCCAGTTTCTACATAATCTTTTTCAGAAAATAGAAGACAAGAAAATAGAAGAAGGGCATTTGGAAAGGAAACTCCCAGACTCCTTTTCTGAGCCCATTATTACCCTGATACTGAAACAAGATAAAGACAGTTCCAGGAAACTACAGGCCAGGATTCCTTGTCAATATATTTGTAAAATTCCCAATTATGTATCATCAAATCAAATCCAGCAAAGCTTAAAAAGGAGAACTATATCACAACCAAGTATGATTTATCCTAGGAATGCAAGGCTGGTTCAATATGTGAAAGCCACATTTATTCACCATATTAACAGTAAAAAAGACAAACCCAACAGGTTATTTTAGTAGATGGAGAAAAAGCCTGTGACAAAATTCAACATCCACACATGATAAATGCTCAAAAATTAGAAGGAGAAAAGGGATTTCATTAACCTAACAAAAAAGGCATCTATAGCTAATGTTTATGCTTGATGGTAAGAGAATGCTTTCACCCTCACCTGGAGAACAAGTGAGGGGTATCCACTCACCGTGTCTTAACATCAAACTGGAAGTCCCGTGCCCAGTGCAACAGGCAAGAGAAATAAAAGACATAATAGATTGGAAAGGAAGAAATAAAACTCTCTTCACAGATGACAGGATTGTCTACATAGAAAACTTCTAAAGCATCTACAAAAACTCCTACTGATGTTAGTAAGGTTACAAGATACATGGTCGGTATGTAAGATCAATTAAAATCGTGTACTAACAAGGAACATTTGGACCAGAAATTTTTTTTAAACTACCCAAAAATGAAATACTTACAGAATAGGTGAAACAATGCATATACAGAAAACTTCAAAACACTGATTTAAAAAAAAACTTTAAAAAATACTAAGTAAATGAAAAGATATATCAGGTTCATGGTTTGGAATACATGATATTGTTGTCAGTTCTCCCCAGTTTGATCTGTACATTCAGTGTCATTCCGAGTAAACTCTCAGCAGTTTTTCCTATGGGAAAAAAAGAAAAAAAAAAACAACTAAAACAGCCAAAACAATTTTGAAAAAGAGTAACAGTGTTGGAGGACTCACTCCATCTGATTTCAAGACTTACACGTGAAGCCACCATAACTAACACAGTGTGATACTGGTGAAAAGATCAGTGGACAAATTAGTCCCAAAACAGACCTGCACAAATACAGTGTTTTTGAGGTACAAGATCAAGTCAGTGGATAATAGGGTAGACTTTCCAAAAAAAAAAAATGGTACTGTACAATGAGACACCCACATATGTGAAAAATGAACCTCAACACATAGCTCACATGTTATACAAAAGTTAACTCAAAATTGGTCATAGACCTAAATATAAAACTTAAAACTACAACCTTCTAGAAGAAAACTTAGGAGAAAACCTTTGTAATCTTGGGTTTGGCAAAAAGGTTACTAGATATGACATCAAAAGTGTGATCTGTTAAAAAAAAAAAAAAAAAAAGATGAGGTGGACTTGATCAAAATTAAAAACTCCTTAAAAGACATTGGTAAGACAATGAAAAGACAATGTCTGTAAATTATAGATAGAATAAAAAATTCGTATCCAGAATACATAAAAGACTGTCAAAATTCAACAATAAGATAATCCATTCAAAAAATGGTCAAGAGATCTGACACTTTTCCAGTGAAGTACACACAGATGGCAAATAACATGGGAAACAACACTCAGTCTCAGTCATTATGAAGTTAAAACCACATGAGATACCATACCCATTAGAATGGCTAAAAGTGAAAGAAAAAATACTGGCAATACAAAGTTCCGGCAAGAATGCGGAGTAACTGGAGCCCTCAGGCAGTGCTGAAGGCAATGTAGAATTGTACGGCCACTTTAGAAAAGTTCGGCGGTTTCTTATAAATTAAACATACTCTTACTGTATGACTCAGCAATTCCATTCTTAGTCAAGCAAAAGAAAAACTCAAATTCACACATAAACTTGTCTGTGTATGTTTATCATACGTCACTTGTACTCATCCAAAATTGGAAACAACCTAGATGTCACTCAACAGGTGAGTGGATATTTGTAACCAATTTTTAACATCCAGTTTGGTGGCATTAAGTCCATTCACCGCTAGGTGAAGGTGTAAGAGAAACAGGATATTTGCATGGCCTCAAAATGTGCCTTTGAAACATTTATTATTTACATCGTGTATTACATGTAAAATAGTAGCTTTACGTGGAAGAAACCTGGCAGACAGCACCTTAACCAGTGATTAAGACTGACACACCAACAGTAAACATGTCAAGGTCATGTCCTCCTGGTGTGAGGCACTGGAAGGGCACAGCACCTCTGCAGGAATCTTCCCCAAGATGCACACCCTCAACCTCATCATGACGGAATATCACGGAAACTCAAGTTGAGGGGCATTCCCACAGAATTCCTGTCCTGTACTCGCAAGAGTTGAGATCGGGAAAGACAAGGAAAGACAGACACTGACAACTGAAATCACCGTGAGACCCCGGGTTGGACCCTGGAGCAGAAAAATGACATTTCACGGAGAGGCGGGTGACATCCACATAGGCTGTGGTTCAGTAGCTGTGCGCCACTGTGCATTTCCTAGTTTCGTTCGTTCTGTTAATAGTTCTGTAAGATGTTACATTAGTGGAAGCAGGGTGGAAGGTATACAGGAACTCCGCTGTTTCTGTAACCCTCAAGGTTAAAATTATTTAGAAATTATAAGTAAAGAAGCTCCTGCCTGACTCGGTTGGTGGAGCACGCGACTCTTGATCTCAGGGTCATAAGTTCAAGCCCCCTACTGGGTGTAGAGATTACTTAAAAAAAAATCTTCAAATAATTTTTTTTAAGTTTAAAAGTTAATGAGTGACAGTTAAGCAGGCCTTTTTCTGTAATCCCCTCTGGAAATGGAGCGCTGTCTTCCAGGCAGCTAAGATGACCTTCACTAACAACAACAATGGTAGCTAAGTCAGCCTCTCAGCAGCGTTTGACATAACTGGTTCCTCTTTCCTGGAACTCGTTTCCTGGCTTGGTTTCCGCGACACCGTGTTGGTGGGCTCTCTCTTACCTTTCTTTTTTAGTCTTCATTCTTGGCTTATCATTCTCCACATGAGGTTGAAGTTCAGGGTTCCTACCTGAGGCCTTGTGTCTTCTCTCTGTACCCCCGCTATCCAGTATGGTAGCTACTAGCCACACTTTAAATTCAAATTAGTTACAAATAAATAAAACTTAAAATCCAGTTTCTCAGTGGCTGTAGCCATATTGCAAAGTGCTTAAGCTACCTGTGGTGTTGGTGGCCACCGTGCTGGACAGCACAGATGAAGGACAGTTCTGTCACTGCAGAAAGTCTTGTTGGACACAGGTCTACAGGGCAGTGCCTGGTGCTTCACATGGTGTCTGGTCACCCTACCCCCAGTGATGCCAACATCGGTCAGTTGGCAGGTAGTGTCAGCTCAGTATCATGAAGTCCCCATCAGCCTTCCACCTGATAGTTGTATTATTAATTTCTGCCTGAAACGTTTGTTTCATTCCTTTTTTGTAAAAAAAAAAAAAAAAAAAAGATCATTCTTGTAATCATTCCATATGGATATCTTTCTGTATTGGTGTATTTTTTTAGATCTGAGTTCATCTTTAATAGCTACATAATATTCTATTGAATGTATACATGCTAAAGGACCTGATCTAATTGTGTTGGATAAGTTCTTAGATATATAATATTTTTAATTACGTATCCTTTTGTTTTGTTTCAGATGAACAGAAGGCCTCATCTGCCTTCCAGACGTTGAAAAACAATAGCGTGCCCACGGAGTCTTGCGAAGACTGGAGAGAAGACCAGCATAGCCCATCCTATCAGCAAATAAACTGCATTGACAGTGTTATCAGGTGTGAGACACAAGTTTTGAGAACATGTCCGTTTTTCTAAAAGCATATATCGCCACTGTAAGCACACATCTTACATCATTTTTAATATTGGTTGTCTTGATTTTTCACTCTAAGTCAGTAGATCTTTATGGAGTGCCTACTTACATATAGTTTATAATAAATTGAACATTTCAGGGGATGCAAAAAATTAGGAGATAGATCCCTTCTTTGAAGGAGCCATGGTATGGTTGAGAAGACAAGACCTTGATCATAAAAATTAAATGAGGCAAGATTTGGAGATCAATTCAAGGTCACAGTAAAAGAGATAGGACAGGCCAGTGATTGAGGCTGGGATGGTCAGGGAAGACCTCATCAAAGAAGAGAGTACAAAGTACCCACACAGAAATGGGAAGTGGCAGAGTTAGGGGACAGGCAGACATGCGTGACCTAATTCTGTTTTTGCAGATACCTGGAGAGCTACAGCATTCCAGCTTTGAAAAGAAAGTGCATATCCTGTACCAGTACAACCTCCTCGTCCTCAGAAGAAGCCAGCCCGAACCACAAGGCAGATGATGCCGCAGCCTTGCACGGTAATGCGGGTGCCCTCCTCGCTAGGCAGAGGGTGATTTACAAAGCCATCCCTTGCTGTTTCTAAGTTTTTGTCTTTACTTATTTCGTTAATCACAAACAAGCCTAGTTTCATATTGCTCCTTTATGGCCAGTAGGTTTTAGCCCATCAGTTACAAACATCTGCAAATTGAGTCTTTAACATAAATTTCCCGTGGGGATTTTTCTTTTCATCGTCAGTGTCTCTTGCGCCCCTAGCTGCGTCTCAGACCCCAGCCGTAGCTAACCTGGAGATGCCGACCGCCCGGCGGGCCGCACACGTTGCAGGAGGCGCTCTGTGGACGCTGGCCCCCGAGGCGCTGAGCCTGGGCTCCAGCGTGAGCCAGTGCAGCTACGGCCGCACTGTCGTTTGTGCCCCACCCCCAGAGTCAGGTGCCACGTTTACCTTCTGCTCTCAAGTGCGCTCGGTGTGAAATACACTACTGCGAGAAAACAAAAGCCCTTAACACCAGTTACTTAGGAATGACTTCTTAAATTATAATTGTTTTCCTTTCTTTGACTCAGTTAAAGTACTTTGGGAAATATCATCATGTTTGTATTGGTTACATGTTGGGACTGTATTTCTAAGTCATTGTCACTTGTCACATCAGCTGATGTGTGGGAAGCACTTAGTACCTGATGACATAGTAATCTCAGTTAGTGTTAACTATCACTAATGAAGTCTCCTGTGGGGCTGCATTAGGTCACTTTGTTGCTGCCCTTGAAAGAAAGTGTCCTTGTCAAACTTTGACTGGGGTTGTGACTAGATTGACTATATATACATCCAGATTTTTGTATTGGCCTGATGACAATGAGGAGAGTGTGTTTAAAACTCTCTTCCTTTTAACAACATAATGACTTGGTAAATTATTCTGATGTTCCTTTTTACTGCCTCCTGTCCTTTGACTTTGTTGTTATAACAGTTTTGGTGGATGAAGAACTGGGGACAAAGTGTTAAATCAGGTTTTCAGTTCTCTCTCATTTCTCTTTGCTAGTCTTCAGTGGCAGATTCGGAAACGTGTTGAGCTATTACTCTCTGCCACCATCTGTCCTGAGTCCTTCATAAGAATTAACTCACTTAATCCTCACACTGACCCTTGGAGATAGAGAGTCTAGTATTGACAGGTGGGCTGGGCGTCAGTGAGAAGACACAAGAGACACAGCTGTTGTGAGATTAGATTATGTTTCTAATGAACTGAAAATAGTTTTATCGGAGCTGAGCTAGTCCCTCCGGAAGGGGCAGATGCACATTGTTTAGTGTCCCTTTCTTAACACTTTAGATTCCCATGTGGACAGACAGCTGCCAGGGACAGCCCACACAGGGTGGGTCTCACCCAGTGGGGAAGGAATTTTGTGGTTATGCCTCTAAACTTCTTGTACTGTGGTGTATATTACCATTTTGAAAGAACTCATATTGAAGTCTCTAAGCTTTCAGTTAAGGAAATATTTACTGACAATTGTTTCTCCTGATCTTAAACCAGTCTCAGCATCTGCGGGGCCACATTCCAAGGACAGGAAACAGAATCAGGGGATCTGTAGAGTATCCATATATCTTCTACTGTCTGGAAAGCCTGTATTCCTGCAGCTTACACCGTGACTCTACTAATGAGTGGGGTCTGAGGACTGTGACCACAAACGCATTTCCCTGCCAGTCATCATCTCCATTATGTATATGGAGCAGTTAAGGCACAAACAGGTTAAGTCCCTTAACTTGCCCAAAGTCACACAGCAGATGAGTGGCAGACTAGGGAATCAGACGTTAATAAGTAGTCTCCAGAAACCATTCCATTAACACATATTTTTGAATCTGTAGTAGGGTCAAGTTAGAGTGTAAAATAAAGCCAGGAGATAAATTAAAATGTAATTTTAAGAAACACACAAATAAACCTGGGGCATCTGGGTGGCTCAGTCAGTTAACCCTCTGACTCTTGGTTTCAGCTCAGGTCGTGATCTTAGGGTCGTGGGATCAAGCTCTGCGCTGGGTGTGGAGCTTGCTTGGGATTTTTTCTCCCTCCCCTCTCTCCCTCCCTCTGCCCCCCCTTCACACATGCACGCTCTCTCTCTCTAAGAGAAAAATAATAATAAACACACAAATAATCCAAAAGGGCAGAAAAGGAGGAAGAGGGCAACAGCCATCACCACCAAAGGGGAATATGTCATATTAATAATAATCACTCTAAACCCAACTATATCCACTCCCATTAAAAGGCAGAAATTGTCAGAACAGATAAAAAAAATCAAGACCCAGCTGTATACTGTCTGGGAAGTATAGTTTAAATATAAATCCACAAATGGATTGAGAACAAATGGGGAAAGAGGCACAATGCAAACGAGAAGCATAAGAAGGCTGGCGATCCGGTATGGTTCAGACTTCGAGACAGGGTCTTCCCAGAGACGCTTCCTGGTGCCAAACAGTTCATCAGGGAGACACGGCAATCAGAATACATTGTGCATATTTGCTACTAACAGAGCTTCCAAGATAGGAGGTAAAAATGGAAAGAGTTAAAGAGAGAAATAGACTCTCTATAACCATAGTTGAAGAATATAACACCCCTTCTGTGCAAATGATAAAACATCTAGACAGTTAAATAAAATTAAAAAAAAAATCTAGACAGAAAATGAGTAAAGCAGATAATCTGAACAATGCTATCAACCATGTTGACCTAGTTGACCTTTAGGGAACACAGCACCTGATTCCTGCACAATACACATTCTTCTCAAGCGTATCCGATATGTTCGTTGAGTTATAAAATACATTGGGCTGTCATATGTCTCAAATTTAAAATAGTTCAATTAGGAATCAGTGAAGGCATCTGGGGTTAGAGTTTTCCTAGCTAAGTGTTTAACTGCAGATTCAGTTTCTGTCATAGACAGAAGGCTGTTGAGGTTTTCTACTTGTTGAGTGAACTGTTAGTATGTGTCTTTAAAAGAATTGGTGTATTTTGTCTACGTTGTCAGGTTTATTGGAATGAAAGTGTTCATAATGTTCCCTTATTCTTCTTTTGACACCTGTATGATCTCTAATGATGCTCCTCTGTCATTTCTGAGGTTGGCACCTTCTGTTTTCTTTTCTCTTTCCCTTGATCAGTCTGGCTAGAGTTTGATCAATTTGATTGGTTTTCTCAGAGAACCGGCTTGTGATTGCACTGGCTTTGTTTGTTGTTTTCCTGTTCTCTACGTCACTGACTTCTGTTCTGGTCTTTGTTATTTCCTTTTTTCTGCTTACTTTGGTTTTATCTTGCTCTTCTCTTTCCAGGTTCTCAATGTGGAAGGTGAAATAATTTCAGACATTTTTCTTTCCTACCGGATTTTAGTACAAATGTTCGTTTTACCTGTTGCTGCATTCCATGCATTTTGGTGGATTGTGTCATTTTCATCGTGTTCTAATACTGACTCCTACCCCCCAGCTGTCTCATTTGAAATCACTTGTCATCATGTGTCTGTTACCGTACAGTACTTCAGCACCACAGATTTGGGGGTTTTCCACGGCTCTGTTACTGATTTCTAATTTAATCCCATGTGGTCAGAGAAAATACAGAACCTGAATTCTTCTTTATTTGTTGAGACTTGTTTTATGGTCTGTGATATGGTCTCTCTGGATGACTGTTCTGTGTGCACTGGGAAGAATGTTTATTCCGCTGCTGTTGGGTTGAATGTACTGTGTAAACCAAGTCAGGGTGGTGGTTACTGTTCAGATCCTGTCTGTCCTTACTAGGTTTCTCAGTCCTTGTTCTGCTTCAGGAGGAGAACAGAAATCTCCGACCATAATTATGGATTTGTCTGTTTCTTCTAGCGATACTACTGGTTTTTGTTCATGCATTTTGAAAGCACTCTTATTTTGTGCATAAATGTTTAGAAGTGTCATGTCTTCTTGATGAATTGGCCTTTTCTGTCTTGTGAAATGACCTTCTTTACCCCTTGTACATTCTCTGCTCTAAAATACAGTTTGTCAGGGTGCCGGGGGAGCTCAGTGGGTTAAGCGTCTGCCTTCGGCCCAGGTCATGATCTCGGGGTCCTGGGATCGAGCACTGCATCAGGCTCCCTGCTCCTCGGGGAGTCTGCTTCTTCCTCTCCCTCTGCCTCTCCCCTCAGCTCATACATTCTCTCTGTCAAATGAGTAAATAGAATCTTTTTAAAAAATAAAAAATAAAATACACTTTGTCTCGTATTAATGTATTCACTGCAGCATTTTTTTATTAGTACTAGCATGTTATATCTTTTCCACCCTTTTACTTTTAATGTGGGTATGTTAATATTTAGAGTGGGCTTTATTTTAGTGGTTGTTTTGGGGCTCATGGTGTACACATTCAATTGTTCACCACCCACCTTCTGGAAATATTATACCCCTTCATGTATAAAGTGTAAAAACCCAACAGTAGGGTACTTCTGCTTCCCCCTTCTGGCCTTGGTTGGCTTATGTTTTCCTTCTACGCACGTCGTACATCTCGGCCTACGCTGCTGTTCTCATGTAGGCAGTGCTTACCTCTTCACCTGTGTACCCATGTAGCTACCTCCTCCACTGCTTTCATTCTGTTATGTAGATTCATCTAGGATCATTCTCCTTCTCCCTGCATGAGTTCCTTGACTAGTTCTTTTCCCATGGGTCTAGTGGTGGTGAAGCCTTTCTGGTTTCGTGTGTCTGAAAATGTCTCTGTTGTCCCTTCCTGCTGTAAGGGTTTCTGCAGAGCATAGAATTCTGGTTGGCAATTTCATCGTTCATTACTTTAAAGATGTTGCTCCACCGTCTTCTCAATGCACTGTTTCCAACATAAATCTGCTGCTATCTTTGGTTTGTTTCCAGCACAGCTTCTCTCTGGCTGCTTGTAAGATATTCTGTCTCTCTCTCTCTCTCTCTTTTTTTTTTTAAAGATTTTATTTATTTGAAAGAGAGAGAGCACATGAGAAGGGGGAGGGTCAGAGGGAGAAGCAGACTCCCCACCGAGCAGGGAGCCCGATGCGGGACTCGATCCAGGGACTCCAGGAT